TTCGTGCTTAGACTAAAACTATTTCTGACGGACAATGCAACATTGGTTGTGAAGAAATGGGTATGACGTTCCATGTCATGTATGTAAAAAGCATAGGTCAATGCACATCAATGCAATATATATAAATAGGATTTTCATTTCATATGAGAATTTATCAAACAGATCTTAAAAATATTTATTCCTTCGAGCCTTGACGAGTAAAAATCAAACTTCCTGATGAATTTCATAAATTTTATATGTTGGAAAGAATGTTTGATACTTTTTATCGCGTAACTCAAGTGACATCTTAATTGTTTTAAACCAGAAGTAAAGAGGACAAACTAAAATGGAATCGCCCATTAATCATGTTGTGTCAGTGCCCTTTCATGACTTAACGTCATTGTCCATATAAAAATTACGAAATTTATTGAATTATTGGTTGGTGCACCTCCTTATCTAGATTTTAACATTTCTTTCGATCACGTGGTATTTCCTCGGTCGTCTCTTAGGCTTCAAAATTTAGGCCTTTAGCATCACTGACAAGTTTTAGAAGGACGAAACAGCTGAAAGATGCAATTTGATTATTTGTTTGGCTCTCCTTTATCTAGATCTAAATTTGTATTAAATCGTGTTATTCACTTGTGGGTCCTTTTACAATATCCATATGATGACATTACTATCGGTTCTAACTGTAAAACGCTCCTCGGTACATCACACCATTCATATATGGCAATATGACGTGAGCGATTTCACCGAATTAACGGCGATTCAGTAGATAAATGTTGCATTTACGTTTTGAATCAACGCATCCCATTAACTCAGTGTTAATCCGGAACGTATTCACATGGGTACACCTTCAAGATTACAAGACAATACTATGACGTCATTTTGATGCTTCGCTGACTGAAACATTGCGTCAATGCTTTGCTCGTCGCCTCAGATAACACACGCCTATAGCTTTATGACAATTATTTTTTCCGGTTTCTAGTAAATATACATAAAGTACAAAACCTATTTAAACAAGAATACTTTAGAAGAGTTTCAGGAATACTACTATAACTATTTAATAGCTGTCACATTATATTTATCTTCTCCTGTTGCACTGATAACGACAATGAATATAATACGACCTGGTTACCGTTAATGAGTACTGTACAACGAGGAGATAGCGTCCGTCAATTTACCAAACTACGTGCGATTCATCGACTCAAAGACCACAAATGCACTTCATTCATCTAACCGAATTCAAAAAGTACGTCGGCTATCTTTAATCTGAATACAATTAACCACGTCATTCATTTAACCGAATACAACAAAAACACATATTTCATTTAACCGAATACAACAAAAACACATATTTCATTTAACCGAATACAACAAAAACACATATTTCATTTAACCGAATACAACAAAAACACATATTTCATTTAACCGAATACAACAAAAACACATTATAATTCATTAAACTCAACAAAAGCACGCATTTCTTCAATCCGAATAAAATTACCACTGTGGCATCATTTATCGAATCCAGTTCAACAAAAGCGCATTTTTCATCAATGCGAATACAATAAACCACGTCATTAACTAAACCGAAAACAACAATACCACATCATTCACCCTACAATGTATCCGTCTCCCATCAACATTGGAGTAATGATAGATATAAAACTGATAAACAGGATGATCCCTAGGGCCCGATCCCTGATGTCGGATCTGTTTAGTATACAGGTAAGGTGAAGGAAACGTGACCTAGGTCCATGATCTTAACATACTATCATGCCCCCTGACGTCTATTTACACGTAATTAGGTAGGTCATCCTGTCAACAGTTTCTCAGTTTGTATATAATTGTTAAAATTTAACACTAAATGTATCTGAAGCCTCAATCATTCTTATTTTAGAATGAAGCAAATTTATTAAACAAAACATATATACGTATAAAGCAAGCGAAAAGGACGTACGGGTGAGCGAAATAATGTAGTGGAACAAGTGAAATTGTTCTGCGGGTAAGTTTCATCAAACACAATAGAGTTAAAGTACATCATATGGTTGATTACGATTTTCAGGAATCTCTTCCAATAAATTTTCATACAGAGGAGAGCCCTTTATACATTGTTCTAGATAAGACTGGTTTAAAAGAGTACAAGAAATAACAATATATCAATGGTTGTCATATTGTATGTATCTACTCATGTTGCACTCATATTGACAATGAATGCAATATACATCCTGACTACCGTTAATGACTGCTGTCCAAAATCTTTCGACAATCCGCATACTATTAACCATATCATTCATTAAACCGAATTCAACAAAAGCACACCATTGACCTTACAGTGTGAATGCAATCACCGAACTATAAATGCAGTGCATATAGAACTGTGGAAATTCTTGTCCTTTGTCCTTTACTGGTCCGCTAATTAGTGTCTTTGGGTTAATGAACAAACTCAAACCACTTCCATGTCTCTCTAGTGGTTCCGCATTAATTGGTTTGTACATCTTGTTCTTTGACTTATTACATACCAACTTGTAAATTTATCTTATTTGTCCTCTTCTTGATGTACAAAACGTAGTTGTCACCCGGAAACAGGACCTTTAATTAGTTAAAATTTCTTAATGAATCTAAGAGATTTGCTGTAGATTCCTCGTTTTAGCTTAATGATTACGTGTTAATGAAGAATCTGAATCAGACTTGTTTTAAGTATATAGTAGATCTTACAGGAGTTCCCTACTAATTCTGACGAGAGAAAATCGGGACAGATATCAGGGGAAATGAAGATTGGCAGATTATGTTGATCACATAAGATACAAATAAAAATCTTTAAATATAGCATCATGTAAATCCAGTGACGTATAACTAATGTCACTGGTTAGACAGATACTTAATGTTTTAATTGCCGATTTTCTCACACTGTGTCCTTTTATTTGATGACTCACAATGAACTTAAAACGTTATCATGAAAACAATGGTTCGATTTAGAAGTAATTTGTGGGAAAGGATACGAGTATTGAGCGTGAAGTGAGTCATGCATGGCGGATCGTGTGGAGATTCTCTACAAAATGTAATATCGCTGATTAGAATTGATGATGTAATTAGATTATATAATAAAATCACCAACCCTGTTTCATATAAAGATATGTATATATATATTTGAAGTTACTTGACATAATCAATTACTGGAAAATACGTAGGAATTTAAAAAAAAATGATTATATTAATTACTAAGCATAAACGAAATTAAGTGATTATCATTCTTTCCAATAAACTACAATGTATCAATTAAAAAGCTTCGGTTAAAACAAAGAATAAAATCCAATGATCATTTATTGATACATATTTCGAATTAGAGACGTCATACTACTTAACGGCGTCTTATATGACTCACTTTAATTTAAAATATTTACGTTGTCACTTTGATGTTTCCAAAAAGAAATGATATTATTCTATTAATTTGTAAAAGATATTAATGGAGTAACATCTGAGACATGTAAGATAAAATGTGGGGTACCTCAGGGGAGTTTATTAGGTCCTCTTCTGTTCTTGATATATGTCAATGATATGCAAGTCTGCATTGATTCTAACTGCATGTTGATGTTGTATGTAGGCGATTCTGCAATACTTTTTCCCCGTCTAAACCCAGCAGTAATATCACAAAAAATGTCTTTGGTGTTAGAGTCTTGTCAAGAATGGTTAGTGGATAACAAGCTTTTTCTACATTTAGGTAAAACCGAAAGTATTATTTTTGGTCCGAAATGAAAATTGGATAAAGCAACAAATATGAATTTTGAAATATTTTGCAATAATCGTGACATTGAAGTTATGAAGTGTATAAAATATCTTGGTATAGACGTTAACGATTTGCTATCAGGTAAAGAAATTGTAGATTCCATTGTTAAAAAAGTAAATCAACGACTAAAATTTCTCTACAGAAACGAGCAATGTCTATCGTATAGGTCGAGAAAAACTCTTTGCTCGGCATTGATTCTTTGTCATTTCGACTATGTCAGTGCTGGTTGGTATGAAGGTTTGTCAAAAAAACTAAAATATAAACTACAGATAACACAAAAAAAAAAAGTAATAAGATTTATTTTGAATGTTCAAAATAGGCACAGTATAAGATGCAGTGATGTTAGACATTAATTATAGAGTTAGTCAGGCAAATCAGAATGAATCATATGTTTGATGTTTTCCATGAAAAGGCTCCAAACTATATGTATATTTCCTTTAACAAGAATCCATGTCTACAAAATACTCGATCCTCTGACCTAGGATAAATGTACTTTACAGGCTCAAGAGAATGGAATTTTCTTCCAGATTATATTGAAAGTATACCAAACAAGCTTAAGTTCAAAATCCAAGTGAAACGTCACTTTCAAAACAAAATGCAAGATAATCATGATAGTTATTATGTATATTATTTGAGGGAAATACATTTGTAAATATCACTAGCTGAACGTTTTTTTTTTTTTTTTTTTTTTGGGGGGGGGGGGGGGGGGTGGGGGGGGGGGGGGGGGGGGGACCTATATTAATTTATAAATATCACTAGATGATACATTAAAGATGTAGCAAACAACTTATTCATGATTATGTATAACATGTTATATGTGCTATATATTCATATGTTTTGTATACAAATCTGTACACAAATCTGTACATCTTTATCCTAAATAAATTTATTATTATTATTATTATTAAAGGTATTTCTTTAAAACAACGAATTTTATTAACATTACTGTTGGGGAAATATTATGCAACCTGTAACATAATGGTTAGGTGTCCAAAAATATAGTGAAAAAATTAGTTGTACTTCAATAATATCATCGTTAAGAATATTTCTTCTGAGTTTAAGTCGCACTCTTTGAAAAATGTACAAAAAAAGCTTGGAGTTTATCAGCATTGGTTATCCGGATTTGTCTCTAACATTATAGGTTCCATATATTTACGTCCTTACTATGTTTAGTGTGAAAGCCTTTATGAACTTCCCCAGTGAAGCTTTTATGTGACAGTGATTGCAGCATTTTCTTTGGACCTTGGTCAACAACGTTTATCCATGCATCTTATTTCAGAAGAGAAAACCTTTCGATGACCCAAGTGATGTAGCAGCAGAACAAGAAAATTAAAACACAAAGCATGTTTTCTTCCATGTGGAATTTTATCAAACGTCACAAAAAGAAGTTTATCTTCAGTGGTTTTCTCGTTGGAGGTAAACAATTATACAAATGACGAGCGCCAAGAAGAGTTAGTTTAAACAATATTTTATTCAATATTCAACAATAAAAAAAACTTACATATAATGCAGGTGGAATCGGAAAATAAGCTTATAACTCATATTAATTCCTTTCCAAGAAAAGTACTGAGACACCTGCAAATTAGGCTAGTATATACATTATAGGTAGATTTGGCTAGTAGTCAAACCTGACTATACGTGTATATAGGGCAAATGTAAACAACTGAACCATATCTAGTCAAGATCACGGTATATTCATAAAAATTGACAACAAATCTAGCGAGTTGGTAAGACAAATTATTTTTGTCATAGGGCATCTTTTCTGGACAGTATCATCCTAACCCAAACCAAATCTACGTAGGCCTGTAATCCTTCCTTTCCACTTCTGGAGATGTTTCAGACTGCTAGAGATAGGATAAGGCCTTATTAGGCCTCAGGGCCATATTCTAAAACTAGCATAATCAAATACACACTGCAACAGACAGTTCCACCCCTCAGAGAGGGATGCATGTCACCCTCTCTGGTTGTCAGAACACTGACGTTTGTCAGTGAGATGATACATGGCAATGGGAGCAGCCATGAAAATTGAAAACCTGTCAACCAACCAACCAGGTACTTGCATCCCTTTATCCACATGTCCCGATAGTGAGACATGAAACTGCCTTAATTCATTATGAAAACACCTCGTATCTTACTTCTAACACACAATTCACATTAATTGCGGGTTAATTTTTTTACATGGAAACATCATGCTTGAAGTGTATCTTTGGCACAAATCTGCATCAAAGGGACGCTTGTCGGCTGACATTATAGGAAGTTAATGATGCCATATTGGATGAACTTGCTAACGGCCATTGAGTTTGTTACTAAATAGCAAGTATATGTGGATACTGAAAATAAGTCCTGATGAAATTCCAAAGCATTGCCTGAAATTGAGCAATATTTCAAAAATATCAATTTCACTGACATACATTGTTTGTCATCCTTTTTTATCTACATGAAAGAAATGTGACTGGACCTTACCTGTATGTTTACATTTGTCCTATATACTGTACATATAATCAGGTTTCACTATATAGCCATGTCTGCCTATATAGCCAGATTTGTCAGTGCTCCAGTACCTGACCATTTTTATTATTACTTTTTAATAGTGTAGAATAATATAAAAAATATGAAATAATGTTTAAAAGACTTGTTGATTGAATGAAATTGACCAAATCTGTGGATGTAAATCATATGTGAAGAACTCAATGGTATGTCACTACATTATATATTTATATTTATACAACCAGTAATTGTAAATTATACTTCAAAGAAATTAGTAGTTGGAATTAATTGCTAAAGAATTCACAACAGAAGCTCAAGTTTTTTCTATGCATAATTTTGCTTTAGAATATACAAATCATTGATTCATAATATTGTTCTGAAAAAGGTTGTTTATTGCTAAGAACTTTTTTGAAAAGAAAGGGCAAAATGTATCTGAAAAAAACTTATCAAAAGTATTATTTTGTTTCCCATGAAGGTATTCTTTTCTTTTAGTCATATACTTTTCCTTCAGGTGGTGTATACTTGTACAGATATGCACAAAGAAAATTTAAAGAAATCCAAGAAAAAGAAGCAGCAGAATGCTTGAAACATGCCAGGTGTGTAATGTAATGTAATGTAACGTAACACAACGTAACGTAACATAACGTAACGTAATGTAACTTTTTTTATATATATAAATCAAATACGTGTGTATGTAAAGATGGTGACCTGTTTGTATTTGTTTCATAATGCGAATTATCATATTTATCCAGCTATTAAATATGTAATAAATTCTTATACAAATTAAAGTCATACTTCGAAGAGGACAATCATATAAAATTTGTTAGTAATTTTACTGGACAGTTTTATGTATGGATGGTCTTTTTAGCAGACATTAGCTAATTTATGGAACAGTGTGTTAAACAACTTCATACACAAATAATAATAGTATTTGATTATCTGATTGATTACTGGCTCGTCAGCTATAATATCGTTTCCTTTCTTTACCTCTTTTAAAGACAACAGCATCATTTTGACAGCAATCAAAGGACTTGTAATATGACAGGTAAAGTATCAATTCTTATTGCTCATTTTAAGATAGAACATATACAGTTGAACCTCGTTATCTTGAAGTCGAGGTGATATGGAAGTTATCCAAGTAATCAGTTTAAGTGAGGTAGAATGTTTGGTGTGAAGTTTTGCAGAGATCAGTGGAAGTTTTCAATTAAACAGGGTCTTTGAGTTATATGAATTAAAGACAATGAGTTTGATGAAATTGTTATTGTTTGCTGTGGAGGCATTTTTACATGACGCCACACTCACATTGTTTTTATTACCTGTTGAGTTCTGTTGCATGAGGGTGCTAACATCCTGCTTATCCATCAATCCTATGATATTTTTTTTCAGTGATATCAATGCTTCCAACACTGAGAGAAGCTCTGATAAAGAAGTTTGACACAGATGCTGTGAAAGAATCTCTGAAGACATGGTATATTTTCTTTTTCTTTTTAAAGCTAAAATGTTTCTGTTAAAATAAAATGATTCCAAAGATAGACACCATTACACATTACATGGTGAATCCAACCTAACAATTTTTCAACAGATAGCTGTGGTTATCTCTCCTACTTTATGTGGTTTGAATGAACTTCTTCATGAAAGTTTATCAATAAAATATGAATTGATTTGCTATCTTCTGAGTTTACCTTTATTATTTTCAGTAATACCGTTAATGTTATTCCTTTTAAGTGTATATGCTTGAACATAATTTTTTTCTTAAAACCTTGAAGGTAATTCTAGATTTGGTTCAAAAGTAATATTGTTTCCTTATTTGCATATTTTGGATCATACATGTGTATGTATATCTTTTATTTACTTACTGAGATAGAGAACTGTGTTATGTTTCAATTTCAGTCCAGAAAATAAATTAGAACTTTGGGAAGAATTGAAAGTTATCAGTAAGTATTTGGTACAGTCTTACTCTCATTTATGAGTCATTCAAAAAAGATCTCAAGATGTAATTTCAGTTAAGATCATTTTTCTCTTTTAATACTGTAAATATATATTTTCCTTTTTTAATTTTTAACACTTAACACTGTAACTATATTTCTCTTCAACACTGTGACTGTATTTCTCGTTTAACACTGTAACTTTGTTTTTTATTTTAATACTGTTACTACATTAGTCTACATAATGTAATTTTAACTGTATTGTGGATACTTTGATTCAGGTCTAGCCCGTATCATCTGTGTGTTGTACGGCTGCAGTATCCTGTGTCTTGTCCTGCGTGTACAGCTCAACATCGTCGGGGGCTACATGTTTCTGGACAGCATGTTCAATCGCAATGGAATGGTCTGTACCTAACCTCTCCCTTGTTTAATGTGAAATCTCTTTTAATTATAATTATTTGCTTCTCTGAAATGGTCTTTGAAATACATCAAAAAGCATTTGTGCAGTTGCCAGTCATGGAAGGGTATCTTTCTCAATAAATGCTTATCCTTCACAACAAATCCTTGTGACAATTTCAGACCCAGAACATGGCAGTGGTTCCAAAAGAACTCCAAGAGAGATACTTATCCCTGATTCGTCACTTCATGGATCATGGTAAGGTGTTATTGTCAGAGTTCAGATAAATTGCTTCAGTTTTAGATTTTGATCATAATATCTTTTAACATATTTTTTTACTACCAGAAATTATCCAAATTCTGACAGCTGCGATTGTAAATACAGTCTCTGACAAGTGTATTGTCTCTTGTGTTTGGCAGGTGTCTTGTCTCAGACAGATACCTTGTCGCTTTCTTTGGTTGTCAATGACAGGTATCTTGTCACTTGTCTATGGCTGCTGTCTTCTCACTTGTCAGTAGCAGGTGTCTTGACTTTGACTCTGTAATTGTTGTTTGGTCTTTGGCAAGTGTCGTGTCTGTGAATGGTGTCTTGACTGTGACAGGTGTTTTGTCTGTAACAGATGTCTTGTTTCTTGTTACTTGTCATTGACTGTGAGTGACAGGTGTCATGTCACTTGACTTTGACAGATGTTTTGTCTGTGAGAGATGCCTTATCACTTACCTGTGATAGGTGTTTTTGACTTTGACTGATACCTTGTCTGACTGTTGTCTTGTCTGTGATAGATGTCTTGTCTGTGACTGGTGTCTTATCTGTGATAGATGTGTTGTCACTGGTCTGTGACTGGTGTCTTATCTGTGATAGATGTGTTGTCACTGGTCTGTGACTGGTGTCTTATCTGTGATAGATGTGTTGTCACTGGTCTGTGACTGGTGTCTTATCTGTGATAGATGTGTTGTCACTGGTCTGTGACTGGTGTCTTATCTGTGATAGATGTGTTGTCACTGGTCTGTGACAGGTGTCTTATCTGTGATAGGTGTGTTGTCACTGGTCTGTGACTGGTGTCTTATCTGTGATAGATGTGTTGTCACTGGTCTGTGACTGGTGTTTTTATCTGTGATAGATGTGTTGTCACATGTCTGTGACTGGTGTTTTGTATGTGACCAGTGTTTTGTTTGCAACAGGTGTCTGGTATCTTGATGCTCCATTGAAAGATTATGCAGGCAGTCTTTTGGATTGAAAAGGACAGTGAAACTCAAAGTGTGCATTAATATTCTCACATACATTGTTTACAAGTTAAAGTACCAACAGTGTATTTTGAAATGAAATTTTGAAAGAGAATAAATGAAGTATTTTAATGTAGACATTGAAAATTAACTCCTGAAGCCAGGGTTAGTTAGAGTTCACCAGTAGATGGAGAAAAATTCAAATTGCTTCTACTGAATAAACATGAGTGTTAAAATGCAAAAAACACTCAAACTATACCGATCTGACCTGCTTCAAAAAACCAGAACTGTGAAATGATAAAGAATGCTCCTAATTTTATTTTATTCATGTTTTGAAAACGTTCACAAACCACTGTGTGTCTCTTACCAGCCTTTGAACAGTCAGGATCAGATGTGCTGTATACTTTTCTTGTTTGTCATAGGAACAGTTTTCTAGAAACATGTAAGATTGATCTCCTTTGTGATAATTGTCTGTTGCTTCCTTTACAGGACTGCTTGAGCTGTGTGATCTTATCCATGGAGCAGTAGAAAAAGAGGTTTGGAGGTTGGTGTAAATGTAGCTATAAGAATGTATAGTGTTGATTATTCTAGAGTGTTTGAGGATTTAATTGTAAAGCTGAAATTATCACTAATAAAATTTTTCATGTTTGATCAGTCATTGCAGACAACTGCCAGCAGCCATTTTGGATTTTTGTGGTTAAATTTGTTGAAGCTCTTTCTAAAATAAATGTTTTAGGATATTCTTGAATATTTCTAGCATAGATACCTACTTTGCATGTGTCAAATTGGATTTTGATTTTAGAAGCTTGTCAACAGTATCTTTCAAGAACTGATGATATGACCTTGAAACTTTATGATCATCCCAGTTCTGCTCTATAGCCACATTTTATGGTCAGTGTGATTGGTTATTCAAGATGGCTGCCAGTTGCCATAAAGGATTTTGATGTAGATTTCATATATTGTTGAATAGATGTTATGGCCAGTGTAACAGATAACTGAGAGAAAAAGATAATTATCCAATTTATATTAAACCACTTATCTAATGATGGGTACCAAGATCACAATTTGATATCTTGGTTGTGTTTACCAAAACAGAATTTCAAACCATTTTTTTTCTCAAAAGATATTTGATTGAGATTGCATATAGGTTAAAATTTAATTTGTATTGAACATGTATTGTGAATTTGTCATATAGGATTGTTTAAATGTAAACAAAACATTTAAAAAACAAAGAAAAAAATTACTTCCAAGTGATTTCTCTCGGAATTGAAAAAATCTGTATATAAGAACAGAAATATCATGATGTTGAATTTCCATGAAATCTGTTTCCTGGTAATTCAGAGATTGCAATTTTCCTGTTTCAGTGTGTCCTTGAAGGAACGTTTGTGCTTTCACAACCTTAAAGCCATTACTGGTCAGATCCGCGAGCGCATTGAGAGCAGCCCCGAGATCTCTGATCTGCAATCACCCACCCTCATGTTGTGTTCCTACATGTTGCCCTCGGAGGGACACACAAGTACAGTCAGTGTAAGTCTGGTAGAAGTATAATGGAAGATTACAAAACAGGACATTCTCTAAGATTTAAAAGGGCAATGATAACTCAGTTGAGTTTTAGCCTAAATTAACTCCCTACCCATAGCAGTCTGTTGTTCTAAGGAAGCTGAGAAACTGAGACCATCATTGTTGTCAAGGTTATGTGCTTTGGCGAGACACTTACCGGGAATTACTGTGGATATCATGCAAAGGTTCTCCTTTGAATGTTCAGTAAGGTAGCCACCAGCTATTACATTTTGACATCGCCTCAAATTACCCTGGCTGTTGTCATGGTGATAAACCAAACAAAAATCTACAAGAACTGGATCCAGGTTTTACCTTGCAAGGTTTTAAAGTCAAAACTTAACAAGGAAAAAAGGGTATTGCAGTACTGTATTACAAAAACAAAATCATTTGGAGGCACAATAGAACATCAGTCTGTTTTAGCATACAGTTGAATATATATGAAATTTAGCACAAAATGTTACATAAAGGTTCTAGTTAGATTGTAGAAGTTAGTATCTGCTAAAACCTAAGAAAGCCATATCAGAGGTATGAGTGGTATAAAGGTTCTAGTTAGATTGTAGAAGTTAGTATCTGCTAAAACCTAAGAGAGCCATATCAGAGGTATGAGTGGTATAAAGGTTCTAGTTACCTGGTAGATTGTAGAAGTTAGTATCTGCTAAAACCTAAGAAAGCCATATCAGAGGTATGAGTGGTATAAAGGTTCTAGTTACCTGGTAGATTGTAGAAGTTAGTATCTGCTAAAACCTAAGAAAGCCATATCAGAGGTATGAGAATACATGAATGATATTTTGTCCTAATAACCATTGGAAAAAGATGAACAATATGTTGAAAGGTAAAAAAATTAAGTAAATAATCGGAGCATTTTAATGCTCGCATGAATAGATTTTCCAAAGACTTTAACTTTCATACAATTACTATTTAAGGTATACTTTGCTTAAATGAATGAAAACGTGTTTACACTTATGTTTTGATTTTTTACAGAATACTGAAAATGCTGAAGAGAGAATGTACCATCAGCTGGTTCAAGAAACAAGGGATGTTTTAGAGAGGTAAACCGATTGAAAAATAAAAACAAGTAAAAGGAGTTTTTGTCCCAGCTGCTACTTTTAATAAGACTACTAACTGTTATTCAATTTCAGCAATGTAACACATACATATATCATATCCCAGATGGGAAAGCAAGCATAAATCTGATATTAATTCCTTTCATTTATTTGATATTGAAGCTTCCTCTATGGTAATCTAGTGTAGAAGTTGACAATGCTATATCTGGGGTAACACTCTGCTGGCATTTTGCTATAGCCAATCAGAGCAAAAATAACAAACATACAGTTATGACCATGTTTTCTGAGAAGTACAGATTTGGTTTTTCTATTAATTCAAAATAACATGTCTCTGTTAATTGATATCTGCAAAATGATCACAAAAATCACATGTGCATCGTCTCACCAGAAAAAAATCATGGTAGTGGGTCCACAGCCAGTGTAGAAAATAAAACTGTTTACTTGCAGTCCCGACTTCCATGCCGTCCTCCACACTTGTCTGGACCGGGGATTTGCTAAGCTGTTAGATAGTCTGGCTGACCACTACCGACAGACCGCCAGTGACCAGCATCAGAAGTATGTCCGTTCATAGTGTTATCAATTTCATACTCAGAGTAATGAATAGTTAGTGTTCAAATTAATCTGAAATGGCTGAATGAAGTTTGAATTTTTCTACAAAAGAAGATGTTGATGGGGTGTTTTTTTCTCTTTTTTCTCAAAGTGATTGTGCATTGTTATCTGGTCCAGATTATTGTAGCGGTGTTGCACTAAGGACAGGGTAAAGCTATCTCCTTAACAAATAAAATCAGTGGAGCAAATTGAAATTTAAAGAATACAATTTCATCATTCAGTAAACATATCTTTAAGTGGTCATTTACACACATTATGATGCCATTTTTTGTCATTTTAAAGTCTCCATGAAGTTGGTATACCTATGGCCAAACTGATACCTGTGATAAGCGGTCTGCTGTTTAAACTCTGTAGTGACACACCAAACCCTTTGATCCAGGTAATTCTTTGTTCCTATGTTGAAGAAATTTACTACTGTAATCACACTTGATAATGAACTGACTGGTTACGTCCCTTTTAAACCAGCTGTCCCACTGTCCAGCCACCACTAATCTTGCCTTACTACCCAGCCACACCAATCTAGCTGCCCTTTAATCCAACCACCAATAATCAAACTATTACATGATCCAGCCACACTAATCCAGCCATCTTAATATCCAGTCACCACTAATCCAGCCGTCCTAATATCCAGTCACCACTAATCCAGCCGTCCTAATATCCAGTCACCACTAATCCAGCTGTCCTAATATCCAGTCACCACTAATCCAGGTGTCCTTATATCCAGTCACCACTAATCCAACTGTCCTAATATCCAGTCACCACTAATTCAACTGTCCTAATATCCAGTCACCACTAATCCAACTGTCCTAATATCCAGTCACCACTAATCCAGCTGTCCTAATATCCAGTCACCACTAATCCAGCTGTCCTCATATCCAGTCATCACTAATCCAGCTTTCTTATTACCCAGTCACCACTAATCCAACTGTACTAATATCTAGCCACTCTAATCCAGCTTTCTTACTACCCAGCCACCATTAATCTAGAATATTTCTTACTTAAAGTCGGAGATTGTGCTTAATAAAGGACATTGAAATGAAAAAGAAAATTAGTTTAAAATTTTACTAAACCATAATACATATCTGGTTTATGTATATGGGTGGGCTTGTTACCAGACAAACGTTCATTGTCAGATATATATGTAACTTTCAGTATAAAAATGAAGTCTGAAAATAATGTTTATATTTAAATCCATTTACCAATGCGAGACTTTATAGAGTGACGATTCTTTAAATCAAAAACCTTCAGATATTTAATGTGGGACTTTATACAGTGACGGTTCTCTAAAACCTTCAGATATTTAATGGAAATGAAAACTATTCCTGTATAATGTACAGATTCTTCTGTTGTAGGAATTACTGCTGCTTGACCAAGCTAAGACATTGGCGGCTAATATTTATGAGGCATTTAGCCAGCAGGAGGAACTGGCATCAGGAGTTGATCAGAAAACTTGAATACACTCATTATAGCCTGAAAAAAAACTTCCTGTCGCTGAGGTTGTAGAATGGTTGTCGACAAAAACTTTGATTAATAAATATGATGCTGATTAAAACAGCATCAGTAGTAATTTATTCTGAACCTTGAGCATTTCCATTGGCTAATTTAAGCTAACTGTAAACCTACTTAATTTAGTGCAATCAAATTTTACCATATTATTGCCTTATGGCAAATCGGCGTATCCACAATAAATACTATATAAGTAACATACAGAAACAATAATTAATGCTATCATATTTTAGCACTATGCTTTCAGCGTGAAAAGCACTAAAACAAAATTATGGCTAAAATCTGTATGTTTACAGTGATGTATTTTGCCAGGGAAAACCTTGGTTTTTATATTAACATGGTTTCCCTTTTTAAAAAAAATCTTTCAAGTGTATGCATGAAAATTTAAATGTCCACTCTAAGATGAAGATAGAAATGAAAACATTTGTTTAAACAGAGGAAATATTGAGAACATGGCTGTTTAATGAACGTATACAGAGGAAAGATTTTGACCTCGTGACTTGATTGGCACAGAAAGAAAATAGTTGACAATAGGGCTATGATTTCAAATCAATAAAATACAGGCAGTTTCTCTAACAAGGTGGTGTTAATGTAAGGCTATGTCAGGATAAAAAATGTGTACATAATATATTGTGTGTATATGTATGCAAGTGGAGGTGTGTGTGTATTAGGGTGGAAGTTTGTGTGGGTGAGACTGTTTATATGTATTTGACTCTTGGTACTTGTATGTGTGTGAAGGTGTGTGTGAAGGTTTGTGCGGGTGACTGTGTAAATGTGTTTGACTGTGGGTAATTGTATGTGTATGATGATGTATGTGTATCGGGGTGGGGGTTAGTGCGGGTGACTGTGTAAGTGTGTTTGACTGTGGGTAATTTTATGTGTGTGATGATGTATGTGTATTGGGGTGAGGTTTGTGTGAGTGACTGTGTAAGTGTGTTTGACTGCGGGTAATTGTATGTGTGTGAGGATGTGTGTGTATTGGGTTGGAGGTTTGTACAGGTGACTGTGTAAATGTGTTTGACTGCGGGTAATTGTATGTGTGTGATGATGTATATGTATTGGAAAGGAGGTTTGGGTGACTACATATATGTGACTGACCGTGAATACTGGTATGTGTATGAAGTTGTTAAGATATAAATGGTGAGAAATATTTGAAACTTCCATAATGAACTGACGTTATTTTAACAGAAGTAGGATGTATGTGGAATATTTCATGAAGTCGGTTGTAAAACTCACTGTTTGTTTACACATAAAATCATAGCATACTGAATTATAAAACTCATACCAAGCCTTTTTTGGCTTGACAAGTTTTATCTGTATATTGTCTGAACTTGTAGATTTCTGTATAGAATTGTACATAATAGTAATAATGCATTTGTACATGATATACAAAGCATTACAAGTATAAGTTATTTACAATTGATTTAATACATGTCTTCAATATTTTTTCCAAATAATTGTAAACAATTATCTTGAAATTTCAAGATGTTTATATAAACAGAAAATGAAGATTTTTTTTTTATTTAATTTTGTTTATCAATGACTGTTGAATTTATACTCTGATTAAGAAATTACAAATTTTGATAATTGCCAACACAGATTCTGAATTACAAAATTAACATGAAATATTTCACGAAAGGATAATTGAATAGTTTTGTAAATTCAAATTTTCTGGAATGTTGATAGATTTTGATCTCACAATTCCTACAATGAAGGAGACATTTCATATCTAATACAATTTTTATATCTTGATTGTGGCTTTGTTTTATTCATCTCCTTTTACATGGAGGGCCCACGAAAAAACAACCGTGGCTGTTGATGAGACACTTTTAAAAACTCTGTCTCATGTGGCAAGGGAAAAACTCTTCAACTGCTGTTATCAGCGTTTAATCAAACTTGCACTGATCAGTATTTGACCAGAATCATGAAATTTGGTTAGCAGTATGATTGGATTAATTGAATAAATGACCTTGACCCAATTTCAAGTTTACCACTTAATTTAATAAGTGAGAATATTTTTTGTATCAGAGGTCTAAAGATATATTTTGCAAAATTGACTCCATGAATGTGGGTTTGGATCCAAGTGAATGTCCTTGACGAACTTTTAATGTGAAAGTTTATTGTGTTTAAGGTAATGTAAATGTAAAATCTACTGAATCCCCAAGAAACCCACCCTTGGGTAAAAATCAAAGGTGTGTCATTAGATACTAGCAGCTTGAGATTCTCAGGAAAATGAAAAACATGTCAGTCTGTGCTGTCAAGATTGTGTTCTTGGGAAAGACACCTTACCGCAATGACATATGATGGGCCTCCCATATACTGTTCAGTGAGGTAACCACAAGCTACTGCAAGGAGTTCTTAAGGGAGATAACCCAGCAAGCAAACAGACATTATTACATTATCTCATGTAGACTGAATGACTTTATTTTGTTTTAATGAATAGATTTGACATACTTTCAAAGTCTTATACATTGAAATTTTTTATTAATGCATGTTCACTAGTTTGACCCTTTCATTACTTTATACATTTACATCATGAGTGTTTTGATGAGGCTGGAAACTTGTCCGAGACACTAGATCTTACCATATTTTCTATTTTTCCTGGATATCTGTGTCAATCCCTTTTTTATTATCTTTCAGTTGTTTTATTTTCAGTTAGAATTATGATTTTGTTACATGTCAGTATCATCTTCCTGTTTTTATGTACAAGTGTTGACATCTCTGTGAGTCCCATATGTCTAACAAAGTGAAAACATTCTGTTGGTGGCAGAAAGAGACTTGCCTGTGTCACAGGGACATGAGACTTACTTACAATCCAGGTGAATATGAACACATCCTAGCATGTCACAGGGACCTGATAATTTGTTACAGTCAAGATGAATATGGATCTATCCAGATTTGTCACAGGGACTTGAAAATAACCTACAGTCCAGGCAATCTGATTAAAATACATATCTTAATTTACCACTCGAATGCCTTCCCTTAATGAGCATAAAGTATTGGAGTGGTGAATTAAGATCTGTATTTTAATTGACAAGCCTGATATGTTTGCTGTTTGTTTTGCTGTGGTTATCACTCAGAGTACAGCCAAGGCCATTTTGAATTGAGGTGTCTTTATAATATAATAGTTGTCTTCCTTGCTGAACAACATACAGGAGTCTCGTCGCAAGCCATCCTTGGCAGCTAGGGTAGTGTCTTGTCCGTTCAGTTTCTCACCTTTTACAACACCTCAAGAGAGGAATGACAAACCACACAACTCGGATCTTTATCTAAGACTTCCTAAATGAAGTTTTTCCAAGTGTTTATTTTTCATAAATAAATCTTGTGGTGCGTAAGTATAATCATCACTCATCCTTTTGATAATGATAATTATCTGATAACTAAGTCATTTTCTTTTATTTAACCTCCTATATCCTTGGCGCATCTCCTACACAGGATTGCCTTGTTAGCTTATAAACAAGGGGAAGTAACTCTGGTAGATAGAATGGCTACAAAAACAAAAAAAAACAAAAGCACTGATGTATCTGCAAAACATTTAATGACATTCATCACAGAGAAAGTTTGACCAGAAAATGACGATCACTATACAACAGACAAAAGTAGTATGTACTGTTAACAAAATGTAGGTAATAAATCTGTTTTATCTATTAAATTTCAATAAAACTAGATTTTATCAGATTTGCTAATAAAACATTATAATATATAAAAGTTTGTTCACTGAATATTACACAAGGCAATAATCAACCAATTTCAATTTTTGAAAATGCTGTTTCCTAACTTTTAATACACCATATTGATATTTTTTTAGATGAATGTCCAACAATTCTCGACAAGAAATTATCATTTGTACCGAAGTTCAATAAAGGTGGGATGCACAAATACAGAAGAAAATAACTATGGTTTTAGACTTCTTTTTTACACCACAATAACACACCCATATTATATAAAAATTCTTCGATATTATGCCTAATGTTTCTGCCTTATGGAAAATGCTCTAAAATGCAAAATATTTAGAAAATAGTGATTTGTGGAGCTAATAGCCTTTTTTATCTGCTTCAAGTTTACTGCTTGCTGATGGTCTTCACAATGTCAAAAAGTATTGAAATTATTAGAGAAAAAATCTAGATTTTTCATAAATGTCTTAAATTTCACCTTTTTTCTGCCATTCTGGATAGGGATAAGAAAGAAATAATTTAGTGTTCTTCCCTATCTTGATTGCAGTGAGACAAAAACTTATAGTTCTGTACTTATTGAAGAGCTGAAATATCTTTATATCTTTAAAGAGATGGAGGTGATTAAGTGTTGAAAACTTGGATATATATATACATACAACTAAATAATCAATCGAAGCATCACGTCAATCAATAGATGTCATACCACTGTTTCTGATATGTTTACCTGGAGTGATTATATAACTCTCAAATTAACTATTATTTCTTAACAATTAATTTGTACCCCTGAGAAAAAAATTGCAAAACATGAAAAAAAAATAAATTCTATCAAATTATGTCTGAAGATGTTGTGTCTATATGAATTTTTTCATAATACAGTGTTAACAAAGAATAACATCTGCTGACCTCAAGTTACAAATATGAAATTCATTCAGATAGAAAAAAATGACTCATCAGCAGTGTTCCTTAATATAAATTATGTAAATGCAGCACTGTTTTAAAAAACGACACATAAAGGCAAGTCAGGGTCAAATGACTACTTCAATAGAGATGACAAGCTTACTTGACATTGTATTATACTATAAAAGTTTTCTGTTATTTTGATCTTGGAAAAAATAGTGTGATAATGAAAATATATTTCTTGAAATTTATTGACAGAATCATTTTGTTTTCTGATAAATAATTGCTTGTTTTTTTACTTTTCAAACAAAACTACCTCGATTCATAAAGATATTGTAGCCAAAGTTTTAAAACCTGTTATATAATTTCAGGCACCAAAAATGTATTTTATTTGTGAAAATATTGTACATATGAAGCTTTTAATCAAAGGAATGAAATTAACCTACCAATATATTTTTGTTTACTGGAGCAGTAAACTTAAATTATTGTTTGTAAAATCTTCACTGAAATTTCCTTGATATTATCAGACATCGGAAATGGTTTTGGTGTGAAGATATCGACATGTACAAAAATGCTAAATTTAAAAACCTTCATCTTCAGGAGAAAACAATACCCTGATTATTAACAAACATACATTGTTTAAATGAAACATAATTGCAAGTCTATATAATGATTAGTATTACAAACTTGAAATGTACAAATCTTTGCCCTAGGAAATTACTTCCCATCAGTACTATCAGTATTATGCATTTGAATGAGTCAAGTGGAGGTTCAATAGCTCCGAAATATTTACTACTTTGAGCAAACATTATTTTTAAACATAGAAAACTGCAACAGTGTCTAACTCTACATACAAATTACAAAACATTTTACAATTTCAGTACCACATCTTTTGCAACTGCATATTTCTAATTACTATATAAAACAAATCTAACAGACTGAAGATCTACTCTATTTCAGTAAGTATGAATGTACACCTTAGCGAAAACAACAAATCAGGAATTTCTCCTTCATCAACAGTAATTAATACTCTAACTTTACAAAACAAAAATTATACCCTTAAATAACATTAGTGAAGTTTCTGTTTATAAAAATTCCAGGTAAAATCTATTTCAGATTTCTGACCTAATATACTGTGTATATAGAAACAAAAAATAAATTTTTACAACGATATTACTGCAGAAATTTCATCACCAAGAATATTGACAATGTTCAAACTGCATTTGCACCACACTCCTGGGCACCCCCAAAAACACAGGGACCCAAAACCACCCTCTTCACAGATCACAAATAAGGATAATCCAGGAATTTTGTGGATGCTCTTAACCCTACTTTCCGTTTCCTAACACACTTTAATCTTGTTCTGGATTATGTTAATCTTTTCACAAAGTTGTTAGATTTTATGAGTATATATTAAAATTCCAGTATTTTTAATATTCTACATGTAGAGACAGGTAACACATACAAAACAAAATGCTGAATTAACAAGATTGTGTTAATAAATGAATAACAAGTGATGAAATGACTTGATACAGCACATCACACAGTTGGAAAAAAAGAGAGAAAAAAAACACATCAGTAAAATACTTGAAAAAAGAAATCCATCTATAAGAATCACTATGTCATAAAAATTTAAAATAAGGAAAGAATCTTGAGGTGAGATTTATTCATAGGAGACAACAATAAACCACCTCTAACAAATGACTAGGACTAAAATGTCTATTCATCACATCAACTTGAAAAGTTTTGAAATTTGTAAGACAAACAGTTTAAGAATTCGTGAGATATAATTGCCACAACAATTGCAGAAACTCCCATCCCCATTCTTAACACATGTTCTGTAATTATCGAGAATGTCACCTCCAACAAAAAACTATTGTTGATCAGTGGGATTCAAAACTAATACTGTATTTCACGGTCCCATAATAAGCCCACCCTGTACCTTGATCATAAGCCCCTTTGGCTAACTGCAAAATAATCAAAATATTTCAAACAGGAAAATATAGAGAAACAATAGTTTTTTATATATATATACTGTGAAATCATTAATTTTCGCAGGGTTTTTACATTCCTTAACTTTGTACTCATAATCAGTGAAGTCCTATATCTATGAGTTGTAAATACTGAAAATCCACAAAATTTAAGCCCCACGAAAATATCTGATGTTACAGTAACTCTTTGGACGGAGTTGATGACTTACTGAAAATAATATATTCTATTCATGAACATCAACACAAGGTCAACACTCAATTAGGTACTTTTTACAAAATACTCATTTAAAATAAAATGAAAAAATAATGGAAAGTTAAAATAAGCCTTAAGGAGAGACAATTACATTTGATCAGAGAAAAAGAAATTCCTAGAATTCAACAAAATGGAATTACTATAAAATACTAAACTTAAATAACATCATCATGCGTATATAAACATAGTTAAATTTTCCAAAGTGAAATCATGGTAAAGTTTGAAAGTTGTCAGTATCCAGTCCAACAAAATACATTAGCCTTGATAATTTACTACTTCCTTTTACATTAAATATATTCAGTAATAGACATTTTTTTTATCTATATATCAAATCTATTAACATAAATAGTTTAACAAAATAAATCAAATTATTCAATATTTTTCTATTCAAACAATCAAATCTTTAAAAATTTTCCATCTATAATCTTATTTAGCTATTTATAAATATATTTATCCTTTTATAAATATTTTTTAATTTATAAATATATTTACTTATAAATACAATATTCTTTGATCTGTTTGTAACTCTGGTTTCTATGTTAGTATAAAAACATACCAACATTTAGTTAGTGATCACATGAAATATCAATACTTAATTTTGGTTTTTACTAAAATTACCAGGTACTTTTAACAATATCAAAACCTTTACCAACATAAAATTAATATTTTTTCCCAAAACCATGACATCTTATTATTTTTCTTACATTTTTTTTTAAATAAAATGTCACCATTTTTACATTGTTGACTTCCTGAAGCCTAAGGAAGCTTTAAGAAATGGCCTGCAATAAGAATCAAAACATTTCAAACAAAGCTGATCGGAATTGATCATTCTATTGACAAACATGTCAAACAAAGCTGATCGGAATTGATCATTCTATTGACAAACATGTCAAACAAAGCTGATCGGAATTGATCATTCTATTGACAAACATGTCAAACAAAGCTGATCGGAATTGATCATCCTATTGACAATCCTTTTTTCCCCATTACATAAAGCTATCGGAAATAGGAGAGTATTTCCTCAAGATTACAATTCAGTTTAAAAATTTTAAAGTAATACTGTCGTCAAAATAACATCACATTCACTGCAGGTTATAAAAGTGTTTCTGTATATAATTACATACAACAATGTCTGTGTCAAATCATCAGAATGGCCGTTTTTTTCACAGACTGAGTATTCTCTCCTCAGTTTATATATTTTATCTGTAGATCTTTTTGGTGTGGTTTCAAAATTTCAAAGCAAAAAAAAATAAACAAAAAAAAAAAAAAAAAAAAAAAAAAAAAAAAAACACCTACAGGCCTGAACTGCAAATTGGTCTAATTCTATATATTGAGGCTTGCCACTACACATCTCGCAAAAAAAAAATCTGACATTAAAGACTTAGTACACAGAAAATTCTGCTTATTTGTGAATATTTACACCACATATGGCAAGTAAAAATATTGACATAATGAAAGACGAAAGACATGGTACCACAGCACACTGGCTCACAGTAGCCCAGCGGCTTTGTGAATTGATAAAATAGATCACAGATAGCTATAGATGGGTGTCTTTGAGGGTCTCTGTCTAGGTCATGTACTTCATTTTTCTGTGCAGGAAGATACTCAACGACATCTGAATAATCTACGAAAGAACAAAAGAAACATTTAATTTGTTACAAACTCCTGAAATAGTTCAAATATCTAAATGATAAATTTCAGTTTTAAAGTGATTTAGGAAGAAACTTTTAATTCGTAACAAGCTCCTGAAACAAGTCCAAATATTTGAATGTCATCAATGCTTAATTTATGTATTAGATGAACTTTTTCAGTTACAGGATTAATTTGGATACATCTATACCACTGAACTCTGGAATCTAATTAAAAGCACATAGGTTATACCAAAATACTAGAACAGAATGTTTCATCTTTTACAAATAAATTCTGATAATAAAATGTTTTCATAGCATACCATGAAAACAGCAACAATGATTGCAACTGTGCCGATGAGGATGCCGTTCTGTACCAGGTAGGAGTGTAGCTTGTCATAACAACCCTACAAAGTACAATGATGATCACATCTGTTACCTTTATGGCCTGCTTTACAGTCAAAAGTGTGTTACTTTCCCAACATGGGGAAAAATTAAGACTATCTCCTCAGTTCTAAACCAAACTTTACTACATTTTCCAAATTTATACAGACACATGCTTTTGTGAGATTCAGGTAGGAAAGATATTGCAGACAAACATATATTTGTTTCATATAAGACGAGTGGTTGAAATAACTTACTTCTGAAGCTAAATCACAAACTTTAAACCCTTATATCAGAGTGCTAAACATTTACAAACCTCATACACTTGTATATGTGTGTATTCCTTATAAATACACAAATTATATGCCAGGCGAATATATGTATTTCAAATGTAACTTTTCTATTAACTTTAACAACTTTAACATAACAATTTTCTATTCATTTTTCAAGCACACAAATATGTGTATCAGTAAAATTTCTTGTACACAAGCTTCTTATTTGAAATGAAGTCAATGGTTACCTCAGACTTTTAACCTTGACCTATAACCATCAAAATAACATAAGGTTTAGGACTCAAAAGTTTGATGTTATAGTGGGTTAAGAACTACATCTGTTCAGGAGTTCATGAGATATCTTGCACATGAGCTTAGCAGACACCTACAAATGCTCTCTTCCCACCCCCTTCATCCCTAAAAACTAAGTATTAAGTATGATTAACAAATAGGTCCTTATCAAAAAAGATGATGTAACGTTTCTATTGAATTACCCAGTGTTGGTTTACAGTTGGATCTGAATGTTAATACAGTTTGTAGTGCAAGACTTACATCCGTGTAAAGTGTGTAGCCTACATTGCCAAAATTTGGGGACGGTGGACCAACATATGGCGCAGCATTTGGTTGTGATGTTCTATTGGCTCCTCCGACACACAAATTCTTGTCTCCCTCTCCGCAGCAACTTGACGGCACCATGCTACCATCTGCTCATCAAGGTGAGAAAAAGTGGAGGTTAGTTGTATTGTAAATTTTGTAGAAATCAAGGTCGGCTAACCAATAAGTGGAGACACATAATGAATAGATCTAGAATTCACTTTAAATTCGAGTGTTTTCCAAACTTTGACAAAAGTTCTGGACATTTTTCAAGAAGACAATGTATCAGTTTCAAATTTATCACCAGATTTGAACACAAAATGGTCACGTGTCCCAAAAAATAATAATCAGTATTATGGAACCACTATTATGACATAAACTTACTACAAGGCTAATCTAAGATTGACAAGCATAGAGGTCACTCATTCTCAGTTTACATATGTTTGTAAATTTGGTCATTCATTCTTTGCATATGCTTATAAATTTGGTCTCTCATTCTCAGTTTGCAAAACATTGGTTATAAATTTGATCACTCATTTTCATTTTACAAACCATCTTTATCGATTTTTAAACATTTAGATTTTGAGTTTTCAAAATCAGAAACTGGTATTATTGATGAAATAGGAGCACTCAATACATACTAGCTATTCCGTCCAGGTACCAGTACGAATGTTTCTTGTAAATGGCCCAGGATGTGGAGCTGTTAATATTACCATAGGCACCACAGCAGCCAAACTGTAAACAGACAAATAATGAGTAAAAGTAGGCATAAGTGTATGGAATATAGTATCAGCCCTAATTCTGACGATCAAGCTCCCTTAATTTGTTGACTGGAGAGGTTGACACAGAAAGTAATGTTTTCCTAAACAAGAGAACATGATCATTACAAGAACATTTGTGGTGATGGGAAATCAATCAAAACCCACAACTGATTATCTGTTGTAATCAAATAGGCTTTTCAATATAGTTATTTGATTACATAATCGGTTGACGGTGTAGTCAATATTCATTGAAAATTAATGCATTCTCTGCGGTAGTAAGATTGTTTTTTTCTAAATTTAACATAAGATATTCTACTTACCTAGACTTAGCATAGGAATAGCAGTTGGTATCTCTACTAAATGTAATATAAATTTGTTTTTCCTTAAATGACTACAATCGATCATCACATCTGATGAGGTGATGAAGTAAACAATTGGATAATTGATTATATGCACAAACCGTCCCATCACTAAGTAGAGGTGCACATCTCCTGTTTCATTTCAAAATCCACATAAAAGAACCCAACTTTGCGTATATTTGTCACTACTCAGTACACTGTATAATATAGATAATGTAGTCCTTCTACACGAACATATGTATTAATGCAGATAAAAAACTCACAGTTTGCTGTACATTGTCCCAGGCCCTTGTCACATCACGGTTCTTGTCCAAGTGAAGATTCACACCATAGTTTTTCTTGATGCTGTTTTCAAAAGTCCGCTCCACTGTATCCTCCAGCTAACAAAGTTATCATAAATTATCATACAAAATATTACAGGTAATGTTTACAGACTGTTTTCATTTTTTTCATATATATATATATATGTGTCTCCCTTAAAAACAAGTAATAAAAACAAAATATCCCATACCAGAAATTTTTCTTCAAATACAGATTTAACAACTACTTCACAAGTCAATTAAGAATTGAATTGAAACTACACAAAGTACAAATATACTGATTGAGAGTTATTTAAAAAAAAATCAATACTTGTTACGACTAGTTTATAAATAAATCCAACTTGACATTGATTTATTTAATTACCGTTCATTAATTTCAAATGAACAATTCATGATTTCCATCACAATGATGTGAATAATTACCTCTGCAATGAAGATATATCCCAAGACTCCACCCACAAACAGCATGATTGACAGGAAAGCCAGGATGACAAGATGCTGAAAGGCAAAAACGCATTATGTAATAAAATATAATACACTTGGAATTAATTTCAACTATATCTGCTGGTTGGAACTCAGGTCTTGATCGGTCATGTTTCAGCAATGATTTTCAGTATCTTTCAGCAGTGATTTTCAGTATCTTTCAGCAGTGATTTTCAGTATCTTTCAGCAGTGATTTTCAGTATCTTTCAATCATTTTGGACACAAAACCTGTTAAGCATTTGGAACTGAAAAGGATTGGTTTGGGGAGGTTGTACTGTAGTCTCTTTACAGGTTTTGTGTCCTTATTTCTGAGTTAGATTTTCATTGAATGTTGGACTTTTTGATCACAGTAAATATATACAGAAATCTGAAACTGTATCACATTTAATTAGCTTAGAATTTGAAGGCTTTAGGATAGGATTCTAAAGTTTTGATAAAATGTGCATGGAACAAGTTCCAATAAGGTATAAAAAGTAAAGTGTAAAAGAGGTTCCATTTTGCATTTTCTATATACAAATATACAACAGCAAAACTAGCAATTCACACATTAAGGTAAAATAGAAAATAGGTACTGGGGATATTGGAAAATAATTACATATATAGACATCAACAAAATGTTAAGTAAACAGTTGTGTCACAGTTTACAATTCTATCATACTACAAGTTTACCATTCTTGTACTTACCAATCCCAGGAGGCATCTGTGGTTCTTCATGATGGCTATGAGGCCTAGGATGGTGATGAGGAAAGCCGCCATTCCGGCAGCAATCATCATGATAGAATCGACCTGGTACATGGCCACTCCGATAAGGTCGGAGATCTGTTTACTGCCATACTCCACTTCATGGGTCAGTACCCCAACAGAAAATACTGCCAAACTTCCAACCTGTCAAAAATTAAGTGTTTCAAATATTGATGAAGATCTAAGTATATTATAAAGTGAGATTCATTTTAATCATAGATATCATTATTCAATGAATTCCAGTAGTAAATTTTGAAAGTTTTTCAAAACCTTTTCAATGTACAAAAATTTTGTATGCATGGCTATACACCATAATCTAACAATTCAAATACATACTGCAAATACAAATAGGTTTTTATTATTATATTAACAAGAGGCCCACTGGCCTTATCTGTCATCTGATTATAAAGGCCTATATATGAAAGAGGCAAAATACGCTTAATTTAAATTGTTGAACTACTCTACAGCTTACAAAGAAAAGATTGTTGGTTCATAAAGACATTTTCTATAAACTTAAAAATCATATTCTTTGGTCATGCACTACACAATTGCCATTGTTCCGAACATATTGCTTGTTGAGGAAGCAAGCTACAGGCCGAATATCAAGACCCTCTGTCAAATGATTCTCAAGTTGAAGGTAAGTATCTACTCTTAATGAATGTCAGGTAAGGGTTCAGAGACTTGACATCAACTGATCACAAGTCAGTGTCTTACCTGAATGTATTAGTCAGAGGTAAGTGTCTTACCTGAATGTATCAGTAAGATATCAGTGTCTTATCTGAATGTTTCAGTCAGTGTCTTATCTGAATGTATCAGTCAGTGTCTTATCTGAATGTATCAGTCAGTGTCTTATCTGAATGTATCAGTCAGATATCAGTGTCTTATCTGAATGTTTCAGTCAGATATCAGTGTCTTATCTGAATGTATCAGTCAGTGTCTCATATGAATGTATCAGTCAGATATCAGTGTCTTATCTGAATGTTTCAGTCAGATATCAGTGTCTTATCTGAATGTATCAGTCAGTGTCTCATATGAATGTATCAGTCAGATATCAGTGTCTTATCTGAATGTATCAGTCAGTGTCTCATATGAATGTATCAGTCAGATATCAGTGTCTTATCGGAATGTTTAAATCAGAGATAAGTGTCTTATGAGAACAAATCAGCCAGTGGATACGTATAAATGTCACCTTCAGCAGACAAATGACTTGTGTAAAAACATCTTTTCACAAATGTATAATGTGTAAAAGACAGTAATAAAACCATAGTGTTTACCATCTCGTCTGTTCGTCATGAAAGTTATCAGGTGAGAAATCCTTGATATACTAACCAGAACTATGATCAGAAGAACAATAAGGACGAGGCGCACCATCCGAAAAGGCTTGGATTTTTTTTCCTCAAAATGAATACTGTCTATCTTCACCTCGTCGTCAGACTGCTGCTTGGGTCGGTTGATGTGCAACATGTTTTTACCCATGTTGGTGATTTGTGTGATATTTCTACCCTTTAGAGTTTTAACAATTAAAACTGTTAGAAACCCACAGGAAACTGTCTGGAACTTTGTTACTATTTCACAACTTCACAGGCCTTTCAAAGTCCATCTTAGGCGGAGACTAACTTTATCTGTTACACAGGACTGAAACAGAAGAAAAAATTGTTTTGTTCATTTTTGTTTATCAATAGAAACTATGACAATGCTAGGGAAACAAGACAGTTTGGTGAATTACACTCTGACATATCACATCACCCAGGTGAACAGTCATGTCTGAAGTAGGAAGTTCCAGTGACCAAGAGTGAAGAAGATAGAGTGCAGACAAACCTTTTCTTTGAAGTAGGTCAGAGGTCAAAATATAAGTCAGCATGACCGTTTTTGATAAACTTCACACCACCTCACAAAGGTGATCCCAAAATATAAGTTTTCAGAAGTATTGTAGGAGAGACAGAGTATGAACAAAGTTTTTCTTCGATGTACATGCATTTCAAAGGGGAAAATGTAGGTCACCTGTGTAATCAATATAAGACAGAAATACCCCCCCACCCCCCAAATCCTTTCAGATTACCTTCTCCTCCATTGTGAAGGATTAATTAATTATTATATTCAAATTGATTGACATCAGGTCACTACTGTGGATAGCAAACGCTTACATTTTTCCAACAAATTATACTGTCCCACATATAATAGGGTATCTATTGTTCATTGGATAAATGAAAGTTTTTAAGTGTATGCAAGTAATGCTTTATAGTTAGGATCTCCACAGACAAAATCAGGTTGTGTTTTGAATTTATGAATAACTAACCATTGATGTCCTCAATATCACTGATAGAGAAAAACATAAATTAACCATTTGTTGGATACAATGTACACTGTACTGTATTTTTAGATCAGACCAGCAATAATTAATTAGCATATTTAATCAACATTCTATAGCATATACTGACAGATTATATATCAGAAAAGTTGATAATGACATAAACATTTATTTGAATCTGTCAAACTTGTGCCTGTTGTACAGTTTCAAATTACGATAATCAAAAGGGACACTACTGCGACCAGCTGACAATATGGAAATTTGCCTTTTGTCTTCAGTACCAAGATCTCATAATCTACCTGTCCACGGAATCACTTACAGAGTAAATACATCACATTGTATGTCATCTTGTACACAGCATCATAAAGTAAGTCCAAAAGTTTTATAACAGACGGTTAAAAACTACACTGTTGTTCACCGTATCAACAATCATTTGGTAGCGCTTGTATTTGGCAGTAGGCCGACATTGTTTACCTTGACAAAATCAAACGGACTATTCCCACGTCACACTGAACAGTTTTCTGAATAACGGTAACATCTACGGTATTTTTTCTGTGACAATTTTTTCAGGTTGAGAACATCCTGAATACATCTTACGTTACACAAGATAGTGATATCGTGATATCAAGGTTACAGATAACAACATTTACCTGTATCACTCACCTGTGTCGACAGCGCTTGTTATGGCCTCGATTAGCGCCACCTGTTTGTATGACAAGGGCGACAACCATCCATCCAATTTTATTTTCTTGGAAAACCTGAAGATCACGCCATGATGAGCTGTAAACTTTCAACCACACATACACCGGAAATATTTATTTAAAGAAAATTTGTTTCTTAATATAGGATCTTACCACAATATATTTTCTTATGACTACTAAATATCCATGCGACGGACTTGGACAATATCTATATCAAGTCCGTGGTCATTCCTACAAACGTTTCGAAACCGTTTGTATAGAATTCTTTTTTGTGTTATCAATTCAAAACGCACCTCTGAAAAGGGGGTTTTGTTATAACCAGCTTGTTAATTTGTCAACTTCCCCAGGTACCAACATACCAAGATTTGAGGTCAGAATTTGAAAAAAATCAAGATTTTTAAAAATCGCGCAAATCCTAATCTCATAACAACCCATTCGACCTGAATTACATGACTTGTTGTTTCCATTGAAAAGCCTTTCGACACACTCGCATGAATACAAATATACTACTAATATAATATATATATTAAATATATTACCAACATGAAAATCGGGACTAACGAGTTCGTTTTGAATTTCGAGGTGTTATTCTGACACGTCCAAACGTAATACGTTCTGGAAATAAGCAATAGGTGTGGAATAATGGGATATAGTCTCGTAAAAAAGGGACATTTTCGTAATTAATTTTCTAGATTGATCGATATATTATCAATATTTTTGCAAAGGAGAATTATTTCCCAACTACAACCTACAATCACTAACAAGGGTAATGTTCTACAGAGACGTATATCACACACAGACACACAGACACACACACACACACACGGAGACACACACACACACACACACACACACACACACACACACACACACCTGGTTCTACCAATCAAAATATCAGGATTTACTTTTAATCCATTTCATTGCATTACTACGAAAGTGACCTACTTAGATTTCAGTTGTTTTCCGTAAATTCATTCTGATGAACATTAAAGATTTACTCTTACAAATAACTGTAGAAGACATTGAAATGGCGTACTCTAAAGAGCTCGTCTTCTAAACTTCGAAAGTCCATATACATCTATAGGAATTTGGTATCTGGAATCCAATCGCATAATATCACCCCTACAAAGCGGTTTTTAGATCTAAGCGAGGTACCAACGATCATTTGGTTAGACTTGAAATCTTTGTGCGTGAGGCTTTTCTAAAGAAGGAACACTTGGTAGCTGTTTTCTTCGATTTGGAAAAGGCTTACGACACAACATGGAAATACGGCATAATGAAAGATCTGCACGATATAGGAATTAGAGGTGATCTACCAAATTTTATTTCAAATTTTCTATCAGATAGAGTATTTCAAGTCCGAAATGGAACGACCCTTTCAGATGTTCATCAGCAGGAAATGGGTGTGCCACAAGACAGCATTCTTTCGGTTACACTTTTTGGACTTAAAATTAACAGTATTGTCAAAGCATTATCCCTTCAATGGAGAGCGTTCTTTATGTCGACGACTTCATCATATGCTATCGATCTATGCATATGAATACCATCGAAAGACAACTTCAACAATGTTTGAATCGACTACAAATTTGGGCAGATGAAAATGGTTTTAAATTTTCACAATCAAAAACAGTTTGTATGCATTTTTGTCAAATTCGGAAACAACACGACGATCCATGTCTGTCTCTCTGTGGTGTACCCATTCTGGTTGTTAAGCAAACGAAATTCTTAGGTGTAATATTCGACAGGAAATTGTCGTTCCTTCCACATATAAAATACCTTAAAGCCAAATGCCTTAAGGCACTGGATATTCTAAAGGTTGTGTCCCACACTGGTTGGGAGCTGATAGAAAAGTTTTGCTAAGACTCCATAAAGCCCTTATTAGATCAAAATTGGACTATGATTCCATCGTGTATGGATCTGCTAGACCTTCATACTTAAAATTATTAGACGCTATTCATCACCAAGGTCTCAGGCTCGCTCTCGGAGCTTTTAAGACCATGCCTACAGCATGCCCCTGTGCAGAGGCTAACGAACCATCACTATATAGTCGTCGAAATAAATTGGCTTTGCAATACACCATTCAGCTAAAGTCAACTCCTTCAAATCCTGCTTTTCCCCTGTATTTGATCCAAAATATAAAACCTTGTTTCAAAACAAACCAAAAAAATAAAAATCATTCATTTGGTATTCGAATATCCGCTCTTTTACAAAGCACAAATATTGATATTGACCAAATTCAGTCATTTGCAACAATAGAAATTCCACCCTGGCTCATGAATTCACCTGAAGTTTACTTTTCACTTCATGAAATGGTTAAATCAGACACAGACAGTTACACCTTTCGTTCATCCTTCTCGAAATTGCAGTTAAAATATGAAACATTTCTACATTTATATATTGATGGTTCAAAAGGTAATGATATGGTTGCTGCGGCCATGATTACACAAGATGAACCTGTGGATGCCGACTACCGAACAACGCCTCAATATTCTCGGCAGAAGCGCGAGGTTTCTGCCTCACCTTTGAATATATTCAAAGAAACAAAGTAATGAGACCCGTTATCCATTCAAACTCTCTTTCTGTTCTATAAAGTCTTAGCAATAGAAATATCGAAACTATTTTCATTCGTAATACCTTAATACTATACTAGCGGAAAAAGAAACGCAAGTTCAGTTTTGGTAATATAACTTTTTTATCCGTAGACCAAATGTTGTGAAATGTGACACATAAATACCTCAGTGTACTGTCCAAATAATCGTCGGTTTAAATACGGTCAACCGTGACCACAGGCGACGCTGCATGATTTGAACGGATTTTCCAACAAAGAGTGCGTCCGTAGGACTACCACGTGTTATCAATTTGAAAACCATACCAAATCCAAGTTTTGAACAGCACACATCCAGTGCACAACATTTCATTCCAAGGCGATTAAAAAGCAGCATGCCGCGACTGTCCAAAGTTGATAGGGGTATGGCTATTGCCCGAATTCTAAAGGGCAAATCACATCGTCTCGTCGCCCAGCAATTTGGGGTCCATGAGTCAACGATAGCTCGATTAGTTGGGCGTCTCTGGGCCACGGGAAGATTAGCTGACCGTCCCAGGAAAGAAGTCCACGCGTTACGACGCCACGTCAAGATCATGGCATACGGCGACGGAGACGGCAAGTCATATTGTAGGCACTCATAGTCGCCGTGTGTGTCCAAGAACAGTTAGGAATCGGTAGCGAGAGTTCAATTTAAGGTCACGACGTCCCTACGTTGGTCCGCAACTTACACCCAGGCGACGTCAACGTCGAATGCAATGGCTGCGTGCACATGCACCAAATCGGTTTCGCTTAGCCCGCTGGAGACGTGTGTTATTCACGGACAAGTCTCGGTTCACGTTGTACAGGTCAGATGGACGAAAACGTTGCTATCGACGTCGCGGTGAGCGATATTTTGATGCACGCGTTAAAGAAAACGACAGATTCGGGGGAGGGTCTGTTATGGTTAGGGGTGGGGATTTCTCATGGCGTGAAAACACCTCTCGTGATCATCCAAGATAATCTTACCGCCGTCCGATATCGGGATCAGGTCCTCGTTCCTCATGTCCTTCCATTAATCCAATCGTTGCAGCAGGATTTGTGGGTGTGTCGTACGTCCCAGCTGGACATGAGGCTCATCATTTGTGGGACGAGCTGGACATGAGGCTCAGGAAGCGCGTCAACGTCCCAAACAACGTCGCTCAGCTCACGCAGGCCCTTCTTCAGGAGTGGAATAACATCCCACAAAAGACCATAAACAATTTGACGGGGTCAATGGTAAGGAGAGTTAGAGCAGCGACTGCAGCTCGAGGTGGGCACACCCGCTATTGATTTTGATCAGGAAATGGCGTAGGGTATCCACGTTTAAACGCTATCCATGCCAACGCCGTCTGTGTTAAGACAACAGAACTTCTCAAATTTTAATCAGTAATGAGGAATTAATATAAACATCTTAACAATGATATGATCATCTATAAATCATTTGAAATATTTACCACCGGACAAAAACTTTTTATTTTTTCCGTTAGTATACAGTAAACTAAGTTTACTATTGATATCAATATCCAGTAAACTAAGTTTATTTCTGATATCAATATACAGTAAACTAAGTTTATTTCTGATATCAATATACATTAAACAAGTTTATTTCTGATATCAATATACATTAAACAAGTTTATTTCTGATATCTATATACATTAAACTAAGTTTATTTCTGATATCAATATACAATAAACTAAGTTTATTTCTGATATCAATATACAGTAAACTAAGTTTATTTCTGATATCAATATACAATAAACTAAGTTTATTTCTGATATCAATATACAATAAACTAAGTTTATTTCTGATATCAATATACAGTAAACTAAGTTTATTTCTGATATCAATATACAGTAAACTAAGTTTATTTCTGATATCTATATGCATTAAACTAAGTTTATTTCTGATATCAATAAACAGTAAACTAAGTTTATTTCTGATATCAATATACAATAAACTAAGTTTATTTCTGATATCTTTATACTCAAACAAGTTTATTTCTGATATCAATATACAGTAAACTAAGTTTATTTCTGATATCTATATACATTAAACTAAGTTTATTTCTGATATCAATAATACAGTAAACTAAGTTTATTTCTGATATCAATATACAATAAACTAAGTTTATTTCTGATATCAATATACAACTAAACTAAGTTTATTTCTGATATCAATATACAATAAACTAAGTTTATTTCTGATATCAATATACAATAAACTAAGTTTATTTCTGATATCAATATATACAAGTTTATTTCTGATATCAATATACAATAAACTAAGTTTATTTCTGATATCAATATACAATAAACTAAGTTTATTTCTGATATCTATATACATTAAACAAGTTTATTTCTGATATCAATATACAGTAAACTAAGTTTATTTCTGATATCTATATACATTAAACTAAGTTTATTTCTGATATCAATATACAGTAAACTAAGTTTATTTCTGATATCTATATACAATAAACTAAGTTTATTTCTGATATCAATATACAGTAAACTAAGTTTATTTCTGATATCAATATACAATAAACAAGTTTATTTCTGATATCAATATACAGTAAACAAGTTTATTTCTGATATCAATATACAGTAAACTAAGTTTATTTCTGATATCAATATACAATAAACTAAGTTTATTTCTGATATCAATATACAGTAAACTAAGTTTATTTCTGATATCTAATATACAGTAAACTAAGTTTATTTCTGATATCAATATACAGTAAACTAAGTTTATTTCTGATATCATATATACAATATACAGTAAACTAAACAAGTTTATTTCTGATATCAATATACAGTAAACTAAGTTTATTTCTGATATCAATATACAATAAACTAAGTTTATTTCTGATATCAATATACAGTAAACTAAGTTTATTTCTGATATCAATATACAATAAACTAAGTTTATTTCTGATATCAATATACAGTAAACTAAGTTTATTTCTGATATCAATATACAATAAACTAAGTTTATTTCTGATATCATATACAGTAAACTAAGTTTATTTCTGATATCAATATACAGTAAACTAAGTTTATTTCTGATATCTATATACATTAAACTAAGTTTATTTCTGATATCAATATACAGTAAACTAAGTTTATTTCTGATATCAATATACAATAAACTAAGTTTATTTCTGATATCAATATACAGTAAACTAAGTTTATCTCTGATATCAATATACAGTAAACTAAGTTTATTTCTGATATCAATATACAATAAACTAAGTTTATATTTGATATCAATACACAGCATATTTCTAAATTCAGTGAACAGTAAAGTAGGACACAGATGAAACAGTTTTAAAGCTCGTTTATTTATTTACATACCCGTAATATGTATTCATATCATGAATGCATGCAACCTTTATCAATATTGAAAATACAAATTTCAGGAGAGATAGATTTTGCAGTGTACTGTATTTTGTCTCCCAATCAATCATACTGTGATCATTCAACAAAATATCAATGACATGGAGTTGAGCATCATTGGTCAACAAGTACAAGGTATTTGCACACAAGACAATAATAGGTATTCCATACAGTTAAGAACACAGATTAGATAAAGCATGAATGGTTTAAAGACTACAGGAAGTACATATTTTGGCATTTTTAAAAAAAAATTCCTTGGGGGAGATGGGACATGTTCAAAACTTCCAGCTTCAGATAAGTCATTATAGACCTGATTTTGAACATCTTGAAACATGATTTTTTTATTAAGCTGTTCCTTCTTGTAGACTCAATTTTTTTTTAAAAAATTTGAAGCACTTTATGAAAATAATCAATAAATCATGGCTGAATGATAGGATCAGTCTTCCTATTAAAAAGGAAGGGTTATAAAGTACATTTGTATGCACATATGTGGAAAAATGATTTGTAAAGTCTGAACTCAAGACAGAAGCACAATAAGTCATTATACATATCATACGTATGTAGCACCCTCTGTTTTGTTTAATCATACATAACAGCACCAAATCAAGACAGGAGATAAATTACATACAAGGACAAATTCCGATTAGATTTACACCCATGTTTTACAATTATTAACTGATTCCAACAAGTGGAAACAAAGGGAATGACCATCATTCAAGGTCACAAAAGACTTCAATGGCAATGTAATGGTAGTTCATAACAAAAACCAATTTCAATTTGACAGTATAATAACAAAACTTAAACGTGCCTAGGTATGTATTTTAAAAGACAACTATTTATATTACATGCACCTGCTTCTTACAATTACAACTATCAGTCATCTATCAATTTCTGTGAATCAACCATTATATTAAAATTTCTACATACCTGTAGTTCATGCCTACTTTAAAACATTTGTAGGAGACACTGTCTAGGTGATATACAAATATAACGCAAACAAAACAGAAGAATTAGAAAATAAGAACTGTTTGAGAATAACAGACTACTTACAATGTATATTGATGATGTGTTCTATGTGAATACCAGTTGATGTAACTTGAAGATGCAGACTTATTTGAAACACTGAAAGACCGAAGAAGTGAAGAAAAAAAAAAAAAAAAACCAACAAAAACAATAGGAGAAAACAAAAACAAAAATCAAAACAAATATGAGAAAGATTGGCTACAAACAATAAAAGTATCAGAAATTATAAAACATTTTTGGGCCTCATAGATATAACTGATGTGATTTAGTATGTTGATAATGACTTTTGTTTGTTTTAAATAACAATCAACTGTTTCTTAACAGTAGCAATCCAGAACTGTTAGAAAAAAAACCCCCATTTTTCTGACATTTTAAGGTGGGACACAACAACTTTAACACTGTCCACACTGACTTTAATACTGTCCACACCGACTTTAACATTGTCCATGTCAACTTGATAGTATCAATATAGGATATAACATTATTGTAAAAATAAAGTACACACAACCACATACTCTCACATGTTAATATATTTGATCTACCAGAGTTACTTCCCTTGGTTACACTCTGTTACATGTGGATTCTTCAGTATTTAGTTTGGGTATCGCAGATGAAACAATGGTCAGACTTACAACAGTAGCATCATGATTAAGTGTGATAGCTGATGAAGCTAGAATCTACACATACAGCAGTGAATAAGGTATAGACATACAAATACACAAATTCTCTTGATAGTATCACAGATTTGGTTTGTTTATATATAACACACTTGGCAGTAGTTCAATTCTTTGACAAATAAAGTTCTAAACACATATTTATACCATTTTATAAACATTATGGTGAAGATTAGATCATTGAAAATGAAATAATATCCTTGTCATAGTATTTTCTTGTTGAATTCAACCTCAGTGGTTTTTGTGGTTGAAATACTTGATACCTGTCTTTGAAATAAACACAATTATATCTTGACTCTCTCTTCAGAAGATGAATGGGACCAAAGCCTTCCTATTTCTTGGGTATAACTCAAACTGTTGTCTGTACCTGAAAGTACAATACATAAACTAGTAAAAACTACACATAAATCAGCCATCATCACTTCCTACAAGCAAATAAAAGGAACTCCCGGAACATCCTGAACAACTCATTACAGTAGGTTTCTAAATGCAGAAAAAACATGCATAATAATCATTTACTATTATTGCATACTCTTTAAAATATTGTAACATTTTCCAAAATGTAAAAAGTAGAGAGAGGGCTGAGGGTGGTGTCGATTTAACGTTGATGTTAACATGTCTAAAACTTTTTTCATTTTCTATACACTAATGCTGGTAAACTATGTTTTCCATTACCATCTAGTTATATAAAAACATATTTTGGCATTGAAATATCTCTAGAACTTGCCAGGAAAAGAATTATATAAATTTCAGAGTAAACACATGGGAATCAGCTGACAGAATCTGTGATACTGACAGATTTATGAAGATCTCATAGCTATCCTCGAGTGAACATAATTATGATAGAAAATAGAAGCTCTGAAATAATGAAGCATTGTATACAATGATTTGTCAATCTGTAAGTAAATATAGACATGTAAAATATCAGCATGCCATCTCATCATATACTTACCATTTGTGGTTATGCCGTGAACGAGGTATAAATGTGGCAGCAGAAAAGAGACACCACACAAGCCCAGACAGTGACCATGTTGCTATCGTCCTGTAAACAAACATTCACTTTTTAACTTTTCAACATCAGTGTTACAAAATTTGTTCCAGATGACTGCTTGTAACAATGGATAATGCCAGTCCAGCATTCTAGTGTGCAGACTTCACAGTTTCAGAACTCTAGAGACAAAGTTAAATGATTTATAACACAAAACAAACACTAATTGACATTATATATACTAAATGAAATGAGATTTAAATACCATTTAAATAAAAAAGAGTTTAAGATGAAAAAAAAAAAATAATCACAAATTTTTGGAAGGGTATTGATATAATTCTACAGCCATTTTGTAGTTTTAATTCTGATTATTTCAGGGAGTACCAAGTTAACTAAATTAAAAGACAAAGATAACCAATTGTTAGGTGTTATGAAGATTTCATAAATCCAAAATAATGCTATTTGTATCACATCTAGTCCAAAACATGACATATAGATCTAATATATAGATCAATAAGTCTCATTATTGTACATTCTACTTACCATCCCAGCCATTCTACCAGTTCACCAAAGTAGTTAGGACAGCTGACGAGCTCAAACAGACCACCATAGGGAATATAGTATCCGTTACAACCTGAGGTAAACAATATTAGAAATCTAACACAGTATAAAACATAGTATCGATTACAACATGTGGTAAAAATATCTTACAACCTGTGGTACACATCCCTTACAACATGTGGTAAAAAATATCTTACAACCTGTGGTACACATCCCTTACAACATGTGGTAAACAATATCTTACAACCTGTGGTACACATCCCTTACAACATGTGGTAAAAATATCTTACAACCTGTGGTAAACATCCCTTACAACATGTGGTACATATCCCTTACAACATGTGGTAAACAATATCTTACAACATGTGGTACACATCCCTTACAACATGTGGTAAAAAAAACATCTTACAACCTGTGGTAAACATCCCTTACAACATGTGGTAAACATCCCTTACAACATGTGGTAAAAAACACCTTACAACCTGTGGTAAAAATCCCTTACAACATGTGGTAAAAAACACCTTACAACCTGTGGTAAACATCCCTTACAACATGTGGTAAAAAATACCTTACCATCTGTGGTACACATCCCTTACAACATGTGGTACATATCCCTTACAACATGTGGTAAACATCCCTTACAAAATGCAGTAAAAAACACCTTACAACCTGTGGTAAACATCCCTTACAACATGTGGTAAAAAACACTTTACAACCTGTGGTAAACATCCCTTACAACATGTAGTAAAAAACACCTTACAACCTGTGGTAAACATCCCTTACAACATGTGGTACATATCCCTTACAACATGTGGTAAAAAACACTTTACAACCTGTGGTAAACATCCCTTACAACATGTGGTAAAAATACCTTACAACCTGTGGTAAAATACTTTACAACCTGTGGTAAACATTCATTACAACCTGTGGTAAAAAGATAAAAATTATTCAAAATCAAACACATTAAGCAATAAAGCCACTTTCTAATGTCCTATGAAAATTGTTAATATTGTTATGATGAAGCTACCTGACCATCAAAAACATATTATCACTAATATAAATTATTTTCAAAAATTAAAAAGGAGAAAAAAAGAAATACTAAATAACTTATAAAGCAAAGTAAGAAAAGAAAACAGAAAAAGGTACCATTCAAGTGTAGACTAAATGATAACAAAATAAAGTTTACCGTCTTCAAGTTTACAATCTTCACCTTTAGTGTTGCGGAGTGACTTGAGTTTCCAGTCTGCCCAACGATTGATGACAAATCCAGACAAGAATAGCAGTATTCCAATGATGAACCTAGGATCACTGTAATGGTAAAAGAAAAAATATGACGATATCTCTCAAAATATACAGAACAATGTTGCCTTAAGATTACATGCAGCTTTACTAAGTCATTTCTTTTTTGTCCAGATTTACTTTCACCCCCATGTAACAAACAGTTTTAATTGTGTGACTTAAACCAGGCTCAAGTACTAATTCTCTTCCAATTGTTGACCAAATATGGACAATTACGAATTAATCAGTCCAAATAAGGATCATTACATATTAAGTTGTCCAAATATGGGCAAAAACTAATTTAGAGGTCCAAATATGGACAGTCACTTTTTTACTTATCCAAATATGGACAATCACTTTTTTACTGGTCCAAATGAATTGCTAATTCAGTAGACACTCACTTCTTGTAAACTATCCAAGATGAGGTCATTGAAAGTCTCAGCACAAAAATATTCAGCTCCTTTACAATTCAATACATGACACAATTCTTCTGACTTCTTAAGTATTTAAGTTGTTTAAGAAATATATACTATCTACAATGTATTTGTCAGTTCTGTAGGGTCACATTATTGCTGAAGTTTATCCTGACAACCTAGGTATATGTCAAATTTACTATCATTTTGTTTGTATCTAACCTTTGTATACTGACATATACTTTAGTTTACAACTTTTAATTTCATTCATTTGCCCCACAGTGTGTCAAATTCTCCACAATAAACACAAATTACTTTGGTCTAAGAATGCTCCATCAAAAAATTATACAGAAATCTATTGACCCACATTTCCAGATGTTTTTGATTATTTTTCAATAATGGATAAATTCAATATGAAAGAACTTGGGTCACCCCTTATTTGTAAATCACTGAACTTCTTCAGCAGTGGGAGGCAGAATACTTTTTTTCAAACATTGATTCTACACTTCTTTTTAACTTTTAATAAGTTATACATATCAGCATTGATTGCTATTTATTTTTTGAAACGAGAGCTGTTCACATACACCTTGTAAATATCTACAAAATCAATATGTATCTTGGAGGTTAACGTCACAGGTGAAATCTTCAACAAGACAGGTCAAAATCATTTCATGAAACGTACACATCAGTCAGACACCTAATGAGATTGATCTCCCTTGTACATCCAGGGAAACCCTTTTTTGAATAAGCAAATACATGACAACACATAACATGAATTACTTAAGGTCCGTCCTCGATACTCCAGGAGTTACAATCACTTTCGCTCTCTGCACCCATGGAACTTGTCATGGCAAAATTGAAGGTTCCATGCGCGACATCTTGTGGACAAGACAAAAAGGTAGATTGATTCTTTGATGTACATCAAATGAATCTTAGGGTCACATAACGGTATATTGTAATGGCTTTGCAGTTGGGTGCTTTTTGTAGTCTTCAAAAGGAGTATATCAGGCTTGTGCCTTCAGTTTTGCCATGACATGTTCCAAGGGTACAGACAGCAAAAGTGATTGTAACCCATGGAGTATTGTGGATGCATAAAGATAAAGAAACATGTTATTTGAAGAGATGAAATAAGTAAAACTGATCTTTTCTTCAATTTATGCTAAATACTTACTAGAAGTAATTTGTGTTGAAAACTGCTGATCCAACAAAATCAGCATTGATGAAGTGATAAATGCAATTTGGGAAAAATCCTCCAAGTGTTATCCTGTCAAGAGGAAATACATTTAACCGGTATGTCATATTTTTTATATTCATTAAAACTTATAAAAATGTATATATATCATACCTACGGAATGTGTTTAGATGAGTATGACTAAAGTCTGAAAGATTTCATTCTATTACCAATTCTGGTCAATCTAGTATAAACCACCTTACATCATATGGATACATTACGATAACATATAGTGTCAACTGAAAAGGACTTGTATATAATTTGATGACATTAAGATAATGTAAGGTAAGCATTTAAGTAGTCACTAGTTAGTCATGCCTTCTTGTACTCTATATGCTATCAAAATATATCTTGTTTTTTGACAAATCAAAAATCACAGAACACAACATTCCAATGATACTGTTTCTGTAATATTCACAAAACATGTTTTTGTAATAAGAGAATTGATAATTACATCACACTTTGATCTTACCAAATAGTACTGGCTCCATGGTAGCTTTTTCAGCTTTAACATCTGTTGCACATAAATGAAAAGTGCATAAAAATATACTATAAAATCTCAGCAATTACCAGGGTACATAAAACTCATGACCAAATTTCAAATGGCTGCTTTTGTGTGAATTTAGTGACTTACCCAATGGGCACCTTGGCACTGCGGTAGTTCATTATTAGTGGGTGTATGATGCCACTGAAAAAAACACGATCATACATGATGAAAATATTCCAAAGATTGAGTCCTAAAATCCAAGTTACTTCCAGCAGCAGTTAAACATAGGATATCTAATAATCTTAACAAAATTGTGTTAAAATAAAATCTGTCCAACATAAACTGAACAGAAATATCAGCAATATTTTGAATTGGAATTAAGAGGTCATATCTTGAACTTTTAGTTCCTTAAAGCAGGAGTACTACTACAGATCAATGTTTTGTAAAACAATTATTTTTTTTATTTTGGTAGTTCAGCAATGATTCTGTTTTGGGCAAATTTCTTCCTTCTTAATTGAGCTTCCATCACATCAAAAAATCAAATTTGATTCCTATAACACATTTTTAATATTTATATAATGACTACAAGATTCCATGAATTAAATTTTCCTAATATCTATTGCACTTTTGTTTTTATAATTGGCAAAGAGATTGCCTACATGTTTTGACCACTATGCTGTCATCAACAGGAAATAAAAAACAAAAACAAAAAAATTTAGACTAGTCAGCCCTCCAGGAAAATATGCGAAAATGCAGGGAAATCCAGATGTAGACCTCAAACCACAAGAAGGGTGTCTTAGTGTAGGAGGGAAATGGAGTAACCAGGGAAATCCCACTGGTCTGTCCCCTTATCTTTTCATGTCCATTCCGGGAATCAAACTCCAGACAGCTAGGTAAAAGGCAATTGCATTACTGCTGCTATCTGACCACACAAGATGATTAAGACCATCAGATGTTAAAAAAACCATCATCTTATGAAGACCATTACATGATGAAGACCATCATATGGTGAAGACCATCACATGATGAAGACCATTAGATGATGAAGACCGTCATATGATGAAGGACATTAGATGAAGACACCAGAAACTGTCATTATTACTGTACATGCATTTAATTATGTATCTTACCCAAAAGCACCAAATTATCTTTAGAATTCTTCAGCCCATAACTTAGAGAATACTCTATGTCTTGATATAAACAATAATTATTCTAACAAACCAGACATAATAATCTACTCTGTATATGACAAATTCCAATCAAATTAATTATTGACTCATTTTTAGTCTAAAAGGTTCTGTTACTTACCATAAAATCTTACTGAAGTGTAAACTTTATGTATATAAAATTGTCCTCATGATAACTGCCTAGTGGTGGAAACATGTAGACAATTTCTTTGACAATAACAAAAACACAACTACAATGGTAATCACAGATCTATTATTCCTAGACTTCTGTTCACCAGATTGTGAGACTATCTCTACAGCATACCCTGTGGTACACATCCAGTAGTCATACCACAGTGCTACAATGTTAATGTTATCATCTTAAAAATATGTAATATTAAATAAATCTTCCTGACTATTGATACCATTAGAATGTTGATTCTCTCAATGTATTCCAGTTTCTTAATATCTGCTGACATCTAAATTGGAAGAATCTATACTTTTTCTGTGATTTAGGTGGAGGTGGGAGGGGGTAAGGGGGAGATAGGTTTTGTTTTTTAATATCTGGAGACTTATTTCATAAAAAAAAAACCAAATTGACCTTTCATATAATTAAAGCCATGACACCAATGTAACCTTCCTAAACCAGATCCATACAAACAGTATGGACAAGGTTTTATATAAATAATGTAGAAAAATGTTTGATGAACAAAAAAAACCCAAAAAAAACCAAAAAGAAAAATCTGCCATTAGGAAGTTTTACAAGAATTTTTATCCAAGGGAAACTAACCATCGAAAGTATCTTAACTGGACGTCCGTGGATATATTTTTTTTTTTTTTAACAAATAATTGTAGCTTGCATTGTGTACCTAGGTACAATAATAAAGTAATGAATATACATACTTACCGTTGGATATAGTGACAAAGAAATAGAGCTAAAAACACATAGTTGGTGTAGTGTCTGGAATCTCCATACAGAAAGAACACCTGAAAAAATTATACAAAAATCATATTATTTATACAGAAGGTGATTTTTAATATGGGTCATTAAGTCTGAAGAACACACTAAATGATAAAGCAATTAATTAATTATCACATATTTTAAATATTGACAATGGTTTCTCTACAACCAAACCCATCATAAAAATGTGAATCTATTACAGTACTTTGTATTAGAAACATAACTGATGTCATATTATATGTGGTAAGTATGGAAATTAATAAATAAAGTAGAAGTACAGGAGAGTTTCATACTTCTGAAAATGTGACAATGACTGTGAGTGACTGAAAGGACACTCCTAGTCTTGTACTTCTTCATTACAGATGAGCAACTTACCAACAAGAAAAGTACAACACCAGGAGTGGCATCAGACAGAATGTGTCCCAAGCGCTGTGGAATCTGTGGACCCCAGTTCAACTCCTGTGCTCAAAATTAAAAAAAAAATAATAACGTGAACAGAGGTAGGTAAAGCAATTTCTGTTTGTTGCACCCTGGAGTTCATTATGATAAAGGCAGATCTTGAATCTCTATGAAAATATGTACACAGACATATATAAATCTTTTAAAATATTTTGAACTGGTGATACAAATATCAACAGTCAGTTTTCAAACTCATTATACATGGCCACACTTAATATCTTTGTTTCTGTCTCCAAATCTATCTCAGAAATCTAAGGATCCCATGGAGTATAAACATGAAAAATGTGTTTGTGAGAAGGTTACTGAAAAATGTGTTTGTGAGAAGGTTACTGAAAAATGTGTTTGTGACATATGCAGACAGATTGGTGTTTTTCAAGTTATTGGAAATAGCTTGTTGTTTAACATATTTTAAGAATATGACATTCATGACATTTTAATAAAATCATTGGCAACTTTAGGCCACTTAGATCTTAAGACATCATGATATCTAGGACCAATGTGCCAGGGACTGGTGCTAGTTGCCATGATAACTAAACATGACTTGTTAGTATACCAACATACATTATTTTCATGTTTGCCGTAAGGTGCTGGATTTCTCCACTGGACTATTGCTGTAATGGTTGCTAACACAAATCCTAGAATGACAAGACCATAATGGACCCAGAATCGTGTGCTGTCGTCTTCATAGAGTATCCAAGGGATTCCCTACAACAATAGATTTTAATGAAAATATAACTGTAGTTCCAAATAAATACTACAGAAAGATCACAAACAGAACTGAATGTTTGTCATTACTTTTTTTCTAGTTTATCTTCTCCAAGAAGACCCCACTCCATACTACACACAGAGTGAATTGATCAGCCCAGCAGAGCCACCTAGAGTATCAGACAGCTCGGACACCTTCGACATTGACAAGTTCCCCAGTACAAAACCTCACACTGGAAACCTTGTATACAGCATATTTAAATGACTGTTTAATCTCAATCATCACTAGTTTTACTTTCTATATAGACTATAATTCCATACACTCATTCATAAGAATCCTACATCCAAGCTTGTTTAAAACAATGACTTTTAGATATTCAAGTTTCATTTATTTTAAACTGTTTTCTATATTGTTTTATTTATAGCGTCAATTGTTAGATCTATTTCTAAACTCATTAAATGCCTGAACTGTACTTTAACCAACTACTTCAATGTAAATGACGACTCTGATGAAGCATCACTAAAGATGTGAAACCTGTTAATCACCACTATGTATTGAACACAATGTGTTGAGGTTGTACTTCATATCTTATTCTCCACATACAACCACCCTGCATACCTATGGTATCCACACCCACAGCTTGGAACCTCAAAAGTAACCTCTTGGCACCCCATCGTTGGTTCCAAACTTCACATTTTATTTATCTTTTCAAGATATGATCAAAATTTTTAAAAAAAATACCCACACATAAAGACACAGCGGCAAACCACTGACATATAGTACAAGTATCTTGAATCCTTAAATATGAATGCCTTCATTGTAATAAATTATCAGATCATACTAAATGGAAATTCTAATCCATTTTGTAAGCACTACATGTATGTGCTTAGGTAGACTACCAACTTTAACGCATCATCTTCACAAAAATAAATCTTTTGTCGTTGTGTCAGATAAAACTTTTGATGCACTTGATGTAATGAACACCATAAAATTTAAAATCAAATTAGAAATAATAGTCAAATAAATAGACTTCCATTTTCTGCTCCTGGTGAACGTCGAATTCGTAGCACGAACTCTTAGTCTTACATAAATCACTAATGCCCGATAACTATTTAAACGGGTAAAACAAAAAAATGAAAATTAAATAAAGTAAATAAGTTATCAAAGCAAATAAACATATGCGTTGTCATTTTTGTTATAAACAAACAGTCATTCGAGTCTATCATTACCTACCTGAAATGTCATGATGTACTGCCCACTTGTAAATAGTCGACTTTTCCTTCAACAGAGCGAATATGTTACGAGAGTTTTGATTGGTCCTGCAATATTTTACTAAGCACGACCTGTATGGCATGTACCGTGAAAATCCAATTCGAGTAGATCTCGATCTAGTTATTTTACCTGTCGTTAACAGAGTTGAAGATAATTACTGTATGTACAGACAATTATTGTTTTCGATTAAGACAAACAGTAAGATATATTTAGGTATAGTTAAAGCATAAAAATGATTAATTGTACGCGTTGAATTTTTAACTCATTAGCGAAAGCAATTATTTAGACGTCATCTAGTCTAAATCAACGTAACGTCAAACTTAGGTTAACACAGTTGTTAATTCCAAATTTTCTATATTTTTCGACAAATATCATACATAGTCAACGTGTCGACAATAATGAAAAAAATCAGCATTGGCTCGGGACAGAAAAACAAAATACTTTGATAATATAATCGGCCTGGTATCAAATGAATTCTCTCCCGTGTAGTATTTTACATTTGTATCATTAACGTTATATACCATAAGACGTCATTTGCAGCGCCAGTCAATAATGACGTTACATCATTAATTGAATATTGCCTAACAAAATGATTGCTTCAGTTTGATTTTGTCGGCCACAATGCGTCTTTAATTTTTTTCAAAATATGAGATGAAATTGAATCTTAAATTTGATTCTATTTCCTGTGGAATTTTATTAAATTCGTCTCGACACAAAAACATAAACTTCGCAATCTGATTAAAACATACATTTCATTCCACTCTGACAGGAACGCAGATGGAGTGGAATGGCAGGTCTGGTTTTCAATCAGATTGTAAACTTCTAAAACTTGTTTTATGAAATCTCATAAAGATCCTACATATATGTATGTATTAGGTATATACATACGTCACATTTATGGATTTAGCGCACTCGTCACAATGCGGCTGATTCCGAAACCACAGCCATACAATAAAGAGTACCTGCGGAATTAGCTGAGGTTAACCGTATAAGTTTAGTACATTGATTTAGGCATTATCACAAGAAGTGTATTAGGAAGCGGACAATGTGGGGTTTCATATTTTTTCAGAAAAATATTTTTGCATTGTGTTGGATTTAAGTATCTAGGCAGTCAACACATCAAAAACTAGATTTAGAGGTGGTGAAATTATCTGAGTGTTTACACGTGGTCATGTTGTGAAGGAATTCCGAGTTGGAATTTGCATAATTGTAAGTAGTTTGTTACCATGACAGTGTTGTTGATCTTAAGACCGGTGTTCAGAAATAAATTTCGTCTATAACATTGTGGTGTTAGGTTGGAATAAGCAGTATAGTATTTTTGAATTGATAGCATTTTGAGCATTTTTTAGCGTGGCAATCACATGTCAGACGTCAGAGGAAATTTTTGATTTACACAAATTTTATGACCAATAATTTCGGGTCTACAACGAAACTAACGTGGACAACTTTCAACCAAGCTATATGATAAAAGTGGTGATTTTAATTTCCCTCTTATGAATTTTCCCAATTCAGGATAACAAATCCATGCATCTTCAACCTATGGTATTTACATGTCACAGTTGATTCGATATTCAAGGGTCTATTCCCATTATCACGATTTTCGTGCAAGAAGTCGTCAACTGACGAACACACTCGTAACACAGAGTTTTAAAAGATGCAGGTTGATGAAATTTATTGGGGATTTTTTGGTCGCCGTTGTGATCCTATGTGCAATATGAAGCTGGGTGTATTTGATGCTGGTTAGTTTGCCTGTTTGTTCCGTTATTGTATATCTTGTTGAATGTGACATTACTTACTTGGATTAACCAAGGTTTATAGGGCGGGTGTCGTCACCGGCGATGAAGCAGAAGACGTGTACTATTCTGGAACACATGATCTTATTCTCTTTGTACTTGTTCAGGAATCTGCGTGTAAATCTTTCTTTTGATCATATTTTGCAGCAATTTTGTGGTTCCAAACTTCAACGGATATGACAGCGTTGGGATTTTATGAATTTTCATAAATAAACTTGTTCACTACAACATATAAAATAACTTATTCAACAGTTTTTTTTTAATATTGTTAAACGTTATTTTGAAGTAAATTAAGAAAACAACGGCTCGATGTTGCGCGTGCCGCAAGAACGGGCGTGTGTCGTGTGTCCACATCATTAACAGTAATATTTCTTCATCAATACTACGGTACATGAAAAGATAACATGGTTTTACACTTTCAAAAAGTCAGCGAAAAATATGCAGATGGCTTCCGGGAAAGGTGGCTTCAACCTGTACTTTTAGGCTCTCGAAAGGCAATACCGACCTCGTCAGTAAACAGGCAGACTCGTACATTTTAAAAATCTCAAATTATGTTCGTCTCTAAAACATTATTTTAGCATATACTGTTTTATTTAAGAATTCGGAGCAAACATGTATTTTCTCTCCACAATTGATGCCAGTAATTTTTAGTTGCGGGCGAAACGTCATCTATAAATTTTTATTTTGGTGCGAACCGTCTGATGTGGGTGCGAAGCGCCATGGCGCGAACCAACTTCGAGACGAAATGTCTAACACACGTCTGTCCACGTAAGTTATGACTTGAATAATACTAAAATGTTATTCTACTCGTAAGATTGTTTTCATTACAGTCAAATTACCTTGTCGATTTTTTGTTTGTATTCAATTATGATGAAGTGAACCTTCCGTCCAATTCTAATCTACCGGAGTTACCTCCCTTCTTATGCTACGCAAACTAGCTTGTTCAATACAGAAAGTGGAATTTGTTGCATTTAGTGTAACGTCTGTAAAACGTTTAGTCATTGGCTAATAACAACGGAAGTATGGTCGGCCCATTTCCCATTACTTTCACTTTGACCGGAGACGATGGTAAGTTTGTCGCAAATCAAAGGCAGTAGCACAAATGCTTAACGTAATATATATATGTAATGCTACAAGGGCCTAGCTATGAAATTCAAGTTTACGAGCCTTGGTGTGTTTATGTACCACTTTTATCCAAAGGTAAATAATTAGTGTCTTGAAAATAGCTCTAAATAATTACTGTTAACATTTGATATTTACAAAACAAGATGTATGTTGAAACTATTTACAATTGAAACATCACCCTATTTTGCACACCTCTGTCAGCCTGAAATACGAGGAAAGCCGTATTTAAGGTGGAGTAATTCCACGCCTGATTCATGTACATTTAAGTTTTGTGATACTGGTTTTAGTTCACTATTACATTACTATGATTTTTGTTACAAAAAATAAAATTTACTTCTCACTGATCGATAAACTAGCCCTGACCAGGCTGGTCATTGTAAAGGTCTACACTAACTACGACATTTGATCGGGCAAAGGTAGGTTAGATTAGATAAAAAGTTAACATCAGTTAGAAGAAGGTATGTTGATGGCTTCACAGCTCAGTGAACAAACACCGTTCTTCTTATATTCTCTGAATCTGATAGGAAATCACAAGACTAAAAAAGACCAACTTAAGAAAGAAGGGAAATTCTCAAATTCACGTTGTGTTAACAAGTTTCACAAAATAATGTGAAAGAAAATTGATTGAGAACAGGTGATATTGGTGCCAAAATGTGTCAGATAAATCTCTATGTCTAGATCTGCATGTTGTATGCTTATATTGTAGGTAGCATACTTGTGAAATGATTGCAAAATGACACACCAATCACAAGCCGCAGAACAAACTAATGCCAAAGAGGAAGGAGACAATATTTACCAGAAGTTCCATACATTTGATTTTCAAGATGACATGAAATTTCAGGCAGGTTGGAGTAGAATTGTAACAGCAGTTCCAGATGAAAGAAGGGAAGCTGAATGTCTGAAAGCAAAACTTTTCTTTTACTCAAAGTAAGAAATTAAATTATCATTTCAATTATCAACAGATGTCCTATGTAAATGAAAAAAATAGAAAAAATGATGTGGTGGTTTGATGAGTCCATACATATATCTCATGTAGGTAAACCATATTTTTGTTTTATTTTTCATTAAATTTAAATCCGACACTGAAATGTTGCCCAGATTGTGTTTGTTTTACACCTTAACATATACTACATCAGCTAATTCTGTACAAAGTTTGCAGCAGTTTTTTGATGTCAGCATGTTTTCTGTAGAAAAAAAGTATTTATGGTAGATAGAAGGACATATTAGTTGGACATTGTTTTTATTATGTGAGAGTTGGGGTTACATGTCTGTGACTTACATCTCTAGATTTCAACTCATACCCTATCTCGTTGTTTTGTACAGATTTATAATATTTTTTATGTGGGCTGGTTTTTTTTTCGTACAGATACATGAACCTTTAGTGTGTTATGCATTTTTTGTGTTTTGTTTTTGGTGTAGAGTTATAGATAAGTAATCATTTTATGTTATTTGTTGTTGTGGATGCTTCAGGCTGTATGAAAAGGTCACGAAAGAAGGTTATGATCAGTGGCTGATGGAGCATTCCAACATCAAACACAATGGTAAGTCATTATTATTTAAAATCACAAAAGAAAAGTTTTAATGATATACAATATACATGTAACTTTTCATGACTATGAATACAACTATTAAATTTTCAATTAAGTTGTATTTCACTAATAGGGTGACCACATTGTGAAGTGGTAATACACTTGGTCAGGAGTTGATTATCAGAACTCTGGCTCTTTATAAAGTGAGGAAAATCGGTGACCAAGTAATTGTGAAAAGAAGTTGTCATTTCACATGCGTGCTGTAAGTGGATTGAAAGTGGGGCAGAAGTTTTGATGTTCATTGACTCATGATGATATAAGAAAGTTGATAGAATGTTAGAATAATTCAGAATACTTCATCTAGGTTAACAAGCATGATTGCTATAAGCAAATACACAGTAACTTGTTTCACTATTGTTGTAAAATAAAGACGGCTTATAGATTTGAACAATGCTAATTCTAGGTTGATTCTAAAGCATGATTTATGTATAATTTTGTTTCCTTTTCTTACTTCAGATGAGGATTCTAAAATAGAAAACGAAGAAAATTCATTGGAATTACACTCTGATTCAAAGAATGACAATCTTGTGAAAATTGACACAAAATCTTCTAAAAATGACTCACAGTTGGACACGGTTGAACTTCGCAATCTTGATTGTAAAGATGGTGATGAGAATGATATAGATAAATCAAAGTCAGCATCACATAAGGGAGATAATTTGGATATCACTTCAAATTCTGTATTAGATTTTAGTGAAATTGCAGAAATGATTGAAAAAGGATTGAAACTACCAGGAGTTGAGGATTTAGATATCAAACCATTAGATATAGATCCAAATCCACCGGAAATGGAGAGACTGAAAAAACCATGGGAGAAATAAGTTTTGTGTTTTCGAGGATTGTGATTTAGTCAAAATTGAAAATCTAATTGTATGATAGAGTGTAAAAGTAGCATGCCATACATTTAATATTGACAGTGTTTAGAATTTATGGAGACTGACTAATTATCTCGGCATTTTCTGGTTTGGCTGACAGGCATCAGATTATAAGTCATCAGGTTTGGCTGACAGGCATCAGATTGTATGTCACCTAGTTTGGCTGACAGGCATCAGATTATCTGTCATCAAGTTTGGCTGACAGGCATCAGATTATAAGTCATCAGGTTTGACTGAGAGTCATCATATTATATGTCATCTGGTTTGGCTGACAGGCATCATATTATAAGTCATCAGGTTTGACTGACAGGCATCATATTATATGTCATCTGGTTTGGCTGACAGGCATCATATTATATGTCATCTGGTTTGGCTGACAGGCATCATGTTATATGTCATCAGGTTTGACTGACAGGCATCATGTTATATGTCATCTGGTTTGGCTGACAGGCATCAGATTATAAGTCATCAGGTTTGGCTGACAGGCATCAGATTGTATGTCACCTAGTTTGGCTGACAGGCATCAGATTATAAGTCATCAGGTTTGACTGAGAGTCATCATATTATATGTCATCTGGTTTGGCTGACAGGCATCATATTATAAGTCATCAGGTTTGACTGACAGGCATCATATTATATGTCATCTGGTTTGGCTGACAGGCATCATATTATATGTCATCTGGTTTGGCTGACAGGCATCATGTTATATGTCATCAGGTTTGACTGACAGGCATCATGTTATATGTCATCTGGTTTGGCTGACAGGCATCATATTATAAGTCATCAGGTTTGGCTGACAGGCATCAGATTGTATGTCACCTAGTTTGGCAGACAGGCATCAGATTATCTGTCATCAAGTTTGGCTGACAGGCATCAGATTATAAGTCATCAGGTTTGACTGTCAGGCATCAATCAGATTATAAGTCATCAGGTTTGACTGACAGGCATCATATTATAAGTCATCAGGTTTGGCTGACAGGCATCAGATTATAAGTCACCTAGTTTGGCTGACAGGCATCAGATTATATGTCATCAGGTTTGACTGATATGCATCAGATTATCTGTCATCAAGTTTGGCTGACAGGCATCATATTATATGTCATCAGGTTTGACTGACATGCATCAGATTATATGTCATCTGGTTTGGCTTACAGGCATCATATTATGGTCATCAGGTTTGACTGACATGCATCAGATTATATGTAATCTGGTTTGGCTGACAGGCATCATATTATATGTCACCTAGTTTGGCTGAAAGTATCTGTCATCAGGTTTGACTGACATGCATCAGATTATATGTAATCTGGTTTGGCTGACAGACATCATATTATATATCACCTAGTTTGGCTGAAAGTATTTGTCATCAGGTTTGGCTGACAGGCATCAGATTATATGTCATCAGGTTTGGCTGACAGGCATCTTATTATATGTCACCTAGTTTGGCTGACAAGCATCAGATTATCTGTCATCAAGTTTGGCTGACAGGCATCAGATTATATGTCATCAGGTTTGACTGACAGGCATCAGATTATAAGTCACCTAGTTTGGCTGACAGGCATCAGATTATCTGTCATCAAGTTTGGCTGACAGGCATCAGATTATATGTCATCAGGTTTGACTGACAGGCATCAGATTATATGTCATCAAATGTGGCTTACAGGCATCATATTATGGTCATCAGGTATGACTGACATGCATCAGATTATATGTCATCAGGTTTGACTGACAGGCATCATATTATATGTCATCAAGTGTGGCTTACAGGCATTATATTATGGTCATCAGGTTTGACTGACATGCATCATATTATATGTAATCTGGTTTGGCTGACAGGCATCATATTATATGTCACCTAGTTTGGCTGACAGGCATCATATTATATGTCATCAGGTTTGGCTGACAGGCATCATATTATAAGTCACCTAGTTTGGCTGACAGGCATCATATTATATGTCACCTAGTTTGGCTGACAGGCATCATATTATATGTCATCAGGTTTGGCTGACAGGCATCATATTATAAGCCACCTAGTTTGGCTGACAGGCATCAGATTATATGTCACCTAGTTTTGCTGAAATTATCTGTCATCAGGTTTGGCTGACAGGCATCATATTATATGTCACCTAATTTGGCTGACAGGCATCATATTATATGTCATCAGGTTTGGCTGACAGACATCATATTATAAGTCACCTAGTTTGGCTGACAGGCATCATATTATATGTCATCAGGTTTGGCTGACAGGCATCATATTATAAGTCACCTAGTTTGGCTGACAGACATCAGATTATATGTCATCAGGTTTGGCTGACAGGCATCATATTATATGTCATCATGTTTGGCTGACAGGCATCAGATTATATGTCATCAGGTTTGACTGACAGGCATAGGATCATAAGTCACTAGGTTTGGCTGACAGGCATCAGATCATAAGTCACTAGGTTTGGCTGACAGGCATCAGATTATAAGTCACTAGGTTTGGCTGACAGGCATCAGATTATAAGTCACTAGGTTTGGCTGACAGGCATCAGATCATAAGTCACTAGGTTTGGCTGACAGGCATCAGATTATTTGTGATTTAGGTTAGTAGTTTTCCTTACTCAATAGTTTTTTCTTTTCTTACTGAAATCCTATGTGATTTAAACCTAAAGGCTATAATTTCTGTAAGTGTGATAAAAAAACTAAAAAAATATTTTCCTTTTGTTGTATTTGTATGTCTTTGTATTGTAAGCTTCCCTATTAACACCACCTTGCAATGAAGTTTTAGAAGGTTTTGAAGGTCAGATTTTCAATTAATTCTACCACGCCAATAGCACTACTGACAAGTCATAAAACTCCCTAAGTTTCTTGGTGCGTATTTCATAGTGTACAGGTGCCAGGTGTCGGATCTGTTTGCTATATATAAGTGTAAAACTGGCTTCCCAGCTGCAATAACTGTGTTTTTAATGTTATGGAAAACAACATACAAAGTGTGCTATGGGGTTTATGATCATAAAGGTACACAACACTTTGTTCTTCATGTACATGTACAGACAATTGATGTAACATGTTTGGTTTTAAATAATCCTTTTTGCTTATTAGACAATATCATCAAACTACTTGATTTATAGATAAAATTGAACAGGGTTAATGGGTGATATTTTATTTAGATTCATAGATAAAATTGAACAGGGTTAATGGGTGATATTTGATTTAATTGAAAAATTGAACAGGGTTAATGGGTGATATTTTATTTAGATTCATAGATAAAATTGAACAGGGTTAATGGGTGATATTTTATTTAGATTAATGGGTGATATTTGATTTAGATTCAGGAACAGGGTTAATGGGTGATATTTGATTTAGATTCATAGATAAAATTGAACAGGGTTAATGGGTGATATTTTATTTAGATTCATAGATAAAATTGAACAGGGTTAATGGGTGATATTTTATTTAGATTCATAGATAAAATTGAACAGGGTTAATGGGTGATATTTGATTTAGATTCATAGATAAAATTGAACAGGGTTAATGGGTGATATTTTATTTAGATTCATAGATAAAATTGAACAGGGTTAATGGGTGATATTTTATTTAGATTCATAGATAAAATTGAACAGGGTTAATGGGTGATATTTTATTTAGATTCATAGATAAAATTGAACAGGGTTAATGGGTGATATTTGATTTAGATTCATTGAACAGGGTTAATGATATTTTATTTAGATTCATAGATAAAATTGAACAGGGTTAATGGGTGATATTTTATTTAGATTTAGATAAAATTGAACAGGGTTAATGGGTGATATTTGATAAAATAAAATTGAACAGGGTTAATGGGTGATAATTTATTTAGATTCATAGATAAAATTGAACAGGGTTAATGGGTGATATTTTATTTAGGTTCATAGATAAAATTGAACAGGGTTAATGGGTGATATTTGATTTAGATTCATAGATAAAATTGAACAGGGTTAATGGGTGATATTTTATTTAGATTCATAGATAAAATTGAACAGGGTTAATGGGTGATATTTGATTTAGATTTATTGATAAAATTGAACAGGGTTAATGGGTGATATTTGATTTAGATTTATTGATAAAATTGAACAGGGTTAATGGGTGATATTTTATTTAGATTCATAGATAAAATTGAACAGGGTTAATGGGTGATATTTGATTTAGATTTATTGATAAAATTGAACAGGGTTAATGGGTGATATTTTATTTAGATTCATAGATAAAATTGAACAGGGTTAATGGGTGATATTTGATTTAGATTTATTGATAAAATTGAACAGGGTTAATGGGTGATATTTGATTTAGATTTATTGATAAAATTGAACAGGGTTAATGGGTGATATTTGATTTAGATTATGCATGAACATTGATCATTACATTGTGTTTATTGATTTTATTTTTGTGGTCAATTTCTTTATTGGAATAATGTTCATGTGTTTAAATGAAATAAATCATAATGATTGAAGTTTTTATGTGTAATTATGGAAGAGAAATTGCTTGAAATTACAATTGACTGAAATGGGATGTCTATTATACATTTGTATGTAAATTGTGGAATTATTTATTCAGGGAAATTAATTAAAAATATCAAACTTTGAGATTTTGTGTCTGATATGTGAAAATTGAATGGTATTTTACCTTGTCACTTAATTAAGATGTCTAAGCTCACAACAAAAAATTCATATATACATGTACAGCTCTCGTGAATCTTACTATGTCCCCTGGATAAAATGTAAACACTAGTGACAATCTCTGCATTGACTGTGATAGGAGTTGCTTCCCTTCGACTATCCTTATTACTTTGTTCCTTAAAAGATAAATGATTCATAAAGATTGAGACATTCCACACTAGAGCGTAGTAAAAAAAGCGAAAGAACAATTTTACATGTCTGACGACATAATCTGACATTATGATATGACTTGAAAGTAATGCTAATCATGCACTGTCACATTTAGTTTTGTGATGTGTGAGAGAGAACAGATGGGTGCCCATGCATGGTATATGTATCAGAAACCAATATACCACACAGGGGTAGGACAGAATTCAGACTAATATCTATATATATCTTTGCAAAAAATGTCATTTATGATTTGAACCCAGGACCTCAAGGCTTGATATTTGAGCTGAAGAGAAGTTCTCTCTAGCCAAACAGTATATCGCAGCTCATATATACTAGGATGACATCATTTTGACCAGTAACTCTACTGAAGTGTGACCAGTACCTCTATTGTAGTGTGACCAGTACATCCACTGTAGTATGACCAGTACCTCTATTGTAGTGTGACCAGTACCTCTAATGTGGTGTGACCAGTGGTGTGACCAGTACCTCTATTGTAGTGTGACCAATACCTCTATTGTAGTGTGACCAGTGGTGTGACCAGTACCTCTATTGTAGTGTGATCAGTACCTCTATTGTAGTGTGACCATTACCTCTATTGTAGTGTGACCAGTACCTCTATTGTAGTGTGACCAGTACCTCTATTGTAGTG